CTCTCTTTTTCTTTCTCTCTCTCTCTCTCTCTCTCTCTCTCTCTCTCTCTCTCTCTCGTCTCTCGTCTCCCTGCCCTCTCCATCGGTCTCCGTCCCTCCCCGTTGGTTTCTGCGGTTCTCCCGACTCTCTCGGTTCTCTCGATCTCGAGCTCGAGCTCGACTCGACTCTCTCGGTGTCGCGTACACATCGAAATCCACGTAAGCGCGCGGACGCGCGCACGCACACCAGTTTTTCTCCTCTCGACCCCTCGCCCGACCGTCGCCATTCATGGCTTCCTTCCCACCTTCTCTCTTCCTGCTTTCCCCGCCCTCCCCCACCGTTTCGTCCTACTGGCTCTCGGTTCTGGTCTCTCTCCTCTCTCTCTCCCTCTCTCTTTCGTCTCTGTCGTCTCTCGGTTCTGGGTTCTCGGCTCTCGACTCTCGCTCGACTCCGAGTTCTCGGCTCTCGGCTCTCGGCGCTCGGTCGTTCCCTTTTCGTCCCCTCGGTCTCGCGTGCGCCCCCCGATCCCCTCGGCCCCCGGCCGCCAGCCCCCTCGCGCAATTAATGGCTGCCCCCACCCCGCGGCCCGGTTACGCTCGCGGCCAATCGTCGCCGGCCTCGTCGGCCCCACTATTCGCCGACGATTCCGCACCTCGTCTCGGTGACGGCGACGGCGAGCTCGTTGTCAGTCGTTCGCCAGCAGTCGTCGCGTGTCTCTCGGTCTCTTTGACGTGTCTCGCCGACATCAGTCAACCCGGCCCGGCCCGAACCTCGAGACACGTCCATTCATCGTTGGCCGCGTGTTGCGCGCGCGCGCGCTCGCGCTCACGCTCACGCTTCCGTTGCTCTTTCGTTGTCGTCGTCGTTCTCGTTTTCGACGTCATTGCCATTGTCGTTGTCGTCGTTGTCGCTGTCGTTGTCAACTGGCTTGCTTCGTGGTCGATCTCTCTCTCTCTCTCTCTTTTTCTCTCTCTCTCTCTCTTTCTCTCTCTCTGTCTTTTTCTATCTCTCTCGCTTCCTCTGTTTCTCTTTCCCTCTGTTGCTCCGTGAATCGAGGCTGATCGGGCGATGAGACTACCGGCACTCTATTCTCAGAGATCGCTCCCCGCCCACCGGTGAAGTTGGAACGCGTCGCTGGAGGGGAAGTCCCGTTGTCGGAGGCAACGAGACGCACGATATCCGCCGGAAGTTACGGACGCGCCGAGAGATGCGTGTAACGGCCTCGAGCGGACGTCCCGTCGGACTCGTCTGTGTCATCGGTGTCGTCTGACGGTGCGTGCGACGCTTCCCGCACTCTGCGGCTCGTTGTGTTTCGTCTCGTCTCGCCTCGTCTTGGCTCGATTCATCTCGTTTCGTTTCGTTTCGTGCTGTGTCGTGTCGACGCCTGTGCGAATTTACCGGAGAGCAGAGAGAGAAAGAGAGAGAGAGAGAGGGAGGATATCGTCCTGTCCCGATTCTCCGGAAACATTAGCGGACGGGAAATGAGCACGGGAGCGGGAGGACGCGACCGATGAGAACCACGCTGGCTAGCTCTCCCGTCCCTTTGGATCTGGAGGAAGCTCCCGGATAGACGTCCGTTCGCGACGACGGCTCTCGAAATTGTACGTCGACGTGTACCGGTGGTGCGCGATTCTCCCGAAACACCGGAGACGCCCCCGAGATCGGCAACCTCGGCTCCGGCTCTGGTCCCGACCTTGGACCTCGACGAGCCTGTCTTCTTTTCTGGATTTTCGCTGGTCCCATGAATTTTCAGTAAGTTCACGTTCCTCGATCACCCTTCCGAAAAATTCTACTAGCTATTTCACCGTAGATCGGTCGGTACGTTTGCTCCGTCGAAATTCGACGGTGGCTCGCGCAGACCGCGTTGGCCGGAAGCAGAAGAAATTCTGCACCGGACGAACCAGCGCTCGTGTTCCATCCTGCTCGACTTTCGAACCTCGGCGCCGAGAACATTTCTCGGGACGAATGCCGGCGGTGCAGGCCCGGTTGTTTCATTGGCGAAACCCTCGAACGGTATAACAAATCGCACCGAAAGAAAGAGAATGGAACGAATCGTCCGCGACGAGGTTCGATCGTTTCCTGTCCTACGCGCAGCACACGCTGCGAGCGCAGACGAGACTCGCGAGCCGGCGATAAGCTTCGAAAGATTACGCATCGAGTCCGAGAGCAGGCGGTTGTAATTGTAACGAGGATGTTACTCTCGAGACGTATCTGCGTTAGATTTCGTTCCGCAGAACTGGACCGGCGAGATAACGCGTTCGCGCGCGCTGCGATTTCGGCATTTAAATCGCAAAGTCCGCGTGCCAAAGCGAAGCGACTCGACGCTCGAAAAACGGCGGATCTCCTCTCGACGATCCAGAGGCTCCGACTCCGGAGTTTGGAGGATCTCGGGTTCCTGGAAAGCGTGAACGGCGTTATCGCTGGTTCGCCGGACAACGCGCGATCCGATGGAAACGTGTCGCGGCGAGGAAGCACGTCCGGTCTTATCGCGAGCATTTCCGTCGCGAATAGAAGCCTATCTGTACCGGAACGTTGCTGAAAAATTCCGAAGAATTCGTCGAGTCGGATCGGCCGCGGAAAGGTCGACGAACTCGTCGATACGAACGCCGCTTTTCGGCCGATCGATTCGGCTGCCCTCGAATCGCGAACGCGGTTTCGACGCGACTCGGCGGATCGCGGCTTATCGATGAGAAATAAATTGTTTCGTGTCCGCGATCGAGCCGTCGCGGAAAACAATAAGCGAGCGCGCTCCCCTCGTTATCGTTCGAAGCGCGACGAGACAATCGGGAACGCTGAACGAACGCGGAACGTGACCGCGCGCTCGAAATATTGGACGACGACGGTACATCGCGTCGCGAAGACGTGACTAGGCGCGCGGACATTGCCGGACCGATCGCGTCCTGTCACAATTACGCGATCAGCAAATTTCCTCGAGCAGCTCTCTTCCACAGGCCGATCCGCAACTCGGTCGATCGCTTCGACTTCGACGTCGACGATTCGGCCTCCGCGAAGAATTGGCGACAGACCCCGCTGGCATTGTCGTCGAAAAGCTGAGGCAACGCATTGTTCCTTGAACGTTGGCCAGTCTTCTCGATCCTCTAGAAACGAATTGTCTAGAAACGAGCAACGTTACGGTGCGCAAAGAATCCGGGGTGCTGTCCCCAAGGGCGTCGAGAGGCGAGCGACTAGAAAGAAGGGCCCGTTAGGGCGGCGCGTTGCGAGCCCGGAGCGCCTCTGGTTCGGCCGATTCGCTCTCCTAGCCGAGAGGCTTTCCGAGGCGAAGGCGAAACCGCGCTGCAAGGCCAAGCATGCGCGCGCGATCTTTTCTCGGAACGCTGCACCGTTGCACGAATGCCTTGGCTACCGTGACAAAACGATTTGTTCGCGCCTGCGAGGAACTTCCTTTCACCTCGGTCTTGTTTTCAATGAAAATTCGCTCGCCTCGTCGCCCTCCGATACGTTCCTCTCGTTTCCTCCTCTTCCGAAGATCGCGTCCTCCGGATGCGAGCCTCGGCCGAGTCCCGAAGAGAGCCCGCCGAGAAACCGTGGACGTCTCTTTGCGAACTCGTCGCGATCCTCTTCGAGAGGGCCATTAGCGCGAGCGGGTACAAAGCCTCTGTATATCGGAGCAACGAGGAAATCGGCACCCCGAGGAGGGGAGTAGGAGATTCGGCGATGGTGTACACCGGCTGCCCAAGCTCGCGAAACGTTCCCCTTATCTCCGCTCGGCCGTATACGGCCGCTAAAAGCTCTCTGACCTATGGCAGTCGGTCGCCGATAGGCCGCGCATTCCTTCCCCTCTGAATGGGCCGCCTGTTGCCCGTTTCCTCCCGAACGCGAGCGTCGGGTGCTCGCTGCTCGCGGCTCGCGGCTCGCACGTGCTCGAGGCGCGCGAGTGCTCGCCGCGATCGAACGCGATGCGATTTTCTTTTTCGACCAATGTCGCGCGTCGCTCTCTGTCCATCGATCGTTTCTACGGAGATTACTCGCACGGCTCGAAACGGAACCGGGTAAATTGGCGGGTCTCGCTTCCTAAAGGGGGAAGATCGAATAGCAGAGCACAGGAAGTTAATGTATTCGTTTTCGCAAGCGTCGGGGCGCCGCTCCGCTCGGCTCCGGCATCGTCGCACGATCCTGGTACCTACACAGCGGATGCGTGTAGGACGGCCGCGATCGGTCCTTCGCGTTGTCGTTGGTTTCTTCCAGTTCCGTAGGCACCCGGAGAGTGGGTCGAGAGTGCCGGTGTCGAACGGATTACCAGGCAGATTTAATGTCATCGGGCGCGCGCGCTCGCGATGTCGCCTATTCCCCCCGCCTCTGTCCGCTGCTGTCGAAACGTGGCCCAGGTTACGGAGAACGGTTGTCAGGACCGAGACACGCTTTTGCCCTTAGAGAAGAACGGATAGACTTTACCAATCGTTGGGCAGAGAATGAAAATTGTGTGTGTTGCTCGCGATAAGGATGGACGAGGGTTGAACTTTTTTTCCTAGAAGGACACCTCGAAAGAGAAAGAATCCGTCGAGGCAGCGCCGATAGGCGGAGAGGACGCGATTGGTCGAACAAAACGCTGCTCGGTTCTTCCAGAACTGTGGGCGCTCCGAGTGGGCCGGTGACCACTGAATCAAGAAACTGCGGTGCGCGGCCCACTCGCGTCGCGCTAGCGCGAACGCTCGAGCTCGCGCTCGCACTCGCGCCCACGTACTCTCGGACCGAACCTACCTCGAAGCCACGTAGGTAGGTAGGTAGCCAGCCGCGTATTAGGCATCGTTCGTGGCTCGGGAAGGTGTGATCCGAATATCGTTGTCGCAGAGAGAGAGAGAGAGAGAGAGAGAGAGAGAGAGAGAGAGAGAGAAAGAGAGAGCTCCTCCGAAATGGTACACCCGGAGCACCGCTGACGTCGCGACCCGAACACGCCCCCCCCCGCCCCCCTGCTCGTAGAAATCTAAGCGGAACCATTATTAACGAATGTTTGTCGGAAGGCGGTAGGAAATATTATTAAAGGACGAATTACCGTTTTCAGGTGGGGATGAAGCGCGTGTCGCGAGGGCGAGAGGAAGCGGACGCGGAGCATTACCGAACACCATCCTCGCTAATGGAACGCCCTTGTCGAGAGTGCCACCACCTCGCGCGGGCTGGGCAGTGCGAATCAACGAGGCGACACTCACTACCCCAACTCAGTCAACAACGAATCATCGTCAACAGCAGCAGCAGCGGCAGCAGCAGCAGCAGCAGCAGCATACTCCAGATACATCGAGAGCCGTCGAACAATGGGCTAGCGAGCGGGCATCGTCGTCGTCGGCTTTGTCGGTTCGCGGTCCCACGTCACCATCGTCACCATCCTCGTCAGCAGCAAGAAGAGCGGGGGCAGGATCGACCGGTAGAGTGTTCCCGTCGTCGAGTCGAATCGGCGGAGCATCGACGACAGCAGCATCATCGGGAGGAGCTAGAGCCGAAGGAGAACGAGGAGGAGGAGGAGGTAGGAGAGGAGAAGGAACGTCGGGTGGGCTCGCCGCCGGCGTCCATTTTCCGAATCATTGGCAAGAGGAGGAAGAGCTGGAGGCGAAGAAGAAGGAGGAGCACCGGAACCGTCTCGTGGACGCAGCGGCTTGCTATCAAGCCGAGAATCTTGGGCTGAGATCCGGTCGGCCGATGTCGCAGAACAATGCGATACCGCCGCTCTCGCGGCCACCCTCCTCGCAAGCGAACGCGATCAACCCTGGAAACGGTCTCGACGGCCACCACGCGACAACCACCGACGCCGCCGCCAACAACAATGCCGACGACGGGGACGCGCACGCGTCCTCCGGACGAACGGTTCACCAGATCGTCCAGTCGGTTCGCGTGCACGATCACAATCGGCCGTTTCCGCCGCCCCGATTGCCACCGACCGCCACGGGCAACGTTTCCTCGCCGAACGTCCTCCCGTCGTCGAATCCCAGACTGGCGGTGACCGCGCCGCTGAGTCCGTTGTCGAGCACCTTCCGGAACAGACCTAGAAACGCGGATGCGTCCAACGAGACGCCGACCGCGACGACGACGACGACGACGGCGGCGGCGGCGACGATATCGACGACGACGGCGACGACGACGGCGACGACGACCACGGCGACGACAACCACCGGTCCGAGATCGGGGGCTCTGTTGTCGAGCAGCGCGAACGATACACCGCCGAGGAGTCCGATCGGCGAGGTGAGCTTGACCGTGCCGCGACCGGACGGCGAGAGGACCATCAACGAGTACGTCGAGGCGCCGTTCAAGCACTGTTGCCTGAACCAAGAGCGGCGTCGGCTCGACGACGAGAAACGGCTGGCCACCGCGGACTGTCCGAAGATCGAGAGGAGGCAGCAACGGCAGAAGGGCCTCGCCGGGTCCGACGGCCTGGTGGCCGGCACCCATCATCGGCTGCAGTCGATCAGGAACCTGCAAGCGTTTCGCGGCGGATCGAACGCGGGGTCGGGCGCGAACGCGGCCACGGGCGCGTCCACCGCGACCACGGGCCCGGTCGGCAGCAACGCCGTGACCAAGCAGCCGGTCTCGTTCACCAAAGAGCCGGCGAACAGCCTCGCCTCGAGGACCTACGACCCCGCCGGCCTCTCGATCATGTGCAATTTCTGCGGCAGGTGCCGGTGCGAATCCTGCCGCGAGCCGCCCCCGTTGCCCAGCAAGTGGTTGTGCGACAACAAGTGCTTCTGTTCCGCGGACACTATCCTCGACTACGCGTCCTGCCTCTGCTGCGTGAAGGGACTGTTCTATCACTGCGTGGACGGCAGCGGCCCGGGCGGAATCGACGGCGAGGCGGCCGGCGGGTGCGCCGACGAGCCGTGCTCCTGCACCGGCAACAAGAAGCTTTCCAGGTGGGCCTGCCTCGGCGCCCTCACCCTCCTGATGCCCTGTCTGCTCTGCTACTGGCCGTTCAAGGGCTGCGTCGCCCTCTGCGAGCTCTGCTACGCTCGGCACGCCGCGCAGGGGTGCAGGTGCAACCCGAGCACGATGGGCAACAACGCGGCCGGCCAAGGCAGGCATCATCCGATCGCCAACGAGATCGGGGACTCGAGGGACCCGGAGAAGAGGTTGCTCGACCCGGTAACACCGGAACTCTAGGACTTTTTCTCTAGACTTCTAGTCTCGTCAGGACTCTGACTTTTTCTCGGCAGAGAGGGAGATCGTTGAGGTAGAAAGGGGAGCGGGAGATGAAGCGAGAAAGAGAGAGTGAGAGAGAGAGGGGGGCGCGCGAGAAGGGAGCAAAGTGAATCGCATCAAGTACAAGCAGTTGCATTTAAGTCGAGAAACGATTATATTATGTACACGTTGGAGCAAAAGTCGGACGGGATGCGTTTCCCGGCGTCCGGCTCTGTCGCGAGTGTTTTCATTATTTATTATTCTCTTCCATGAGAATGGAAACGAGAAAATGAGAGAGAGAGAGAGAGAGCGTGTGTGAACGTGAGCGTGCTTGCGTGCGTGATCGAGTATGCGTTTCCGAGAGAAATAGAGCGACGAGCGAGAGTGGGAGACCGCGAAGCATAGGGGGCGAAACAGGTCGAAAGAGGGTAATGGGAGAGAGACGGTACGACAGAGGGAACCGGAGAGATTGGAGAGAGGGGTAGCAGAGCGGGCGAGAAAGAGGTTGACGAAAGGTACGCGAGCGTCCGTATTACGCAGAGACATACCACTTATGTATAGATAGGTCTGTACACGATTAAATATATAAATAGTACGCGCACACACGGAGAGAACTAGCAAGTCTGCGAGCGAGTGGGAGAACACGAGTAACAGAGAGGGGAAAACGGTAAATAGGAGAAACGCTAAAGTATATTAAATCGGAGCGAGCGAACGCGTACGCGTACCAGTACGTGTAAACGCGTCTACGTGTGTGCATGTGCGTGGATGCGCCGGGTGAATCTATGTTCGCGTATGTGTGTGGCGTACGGCGTGTCCGCGTTATTGTCGCCCATCGCGTCCCTCGTGAATGAGCGCCGCGAGAAGAAAACAGGAGAGGAAGAACCTCCGCCATTTTCTAGAGCAAACCCAACGCGACGCGACGCGACGCGACGACGAGAACGTCGTTGCGTCGGCTCTCTTTCCTCGAGATCGATCGACGACCAATTAATTTATTCGCTTGCGCAGCGCGTCAGGTGCCTTATCACGATCAGAAAGACATGTCGGAATCGCGAGATGAAGACACTGTGAGAGAGAGAGAGAGAGAGAGAATGAGAGAGAGAGAGAGAGAGAGAGAGCGCGCTCGCGTTTCGCGTCGGGTTTCCGTCAGATCTTTTCTTCCTCTTCCGGTTTGCTTCGAGCGATCGCGAGCAAACGATTATGGTTGGAGCACGTGCCCGCGTTCGGCAAACGGGGAACATCCCCTCCCCCCGTTTACCGAAGGCGCGGCAATGTCGAAAAACGTGCGCGATGCCGACCGCAACGCGAACACCCTGTATACGCGTAGATCTATAGACATGTACATTGTATATTACATTTGTATAAAGAGGAAACTTTTCTACGGTTAATTTATTCATGGCTGCATCGCCGAGTAAAATAGAATATTCGCATGTAGCGTATGGGCGAGGATGTTTGATCGAGCAGCAGGAACAGGACGGCGAGCAGGAGAGGTCGGTGATGAATGCGAGGGTTGATAGAGAGAGAGAGATAGAGAGAGAGAGAGAGAGAGAGAGAAAGAGTGCGAGGGAGGAGTATTCGAAGAATCATTCGATTTGTCTGACGGTCCGATAGCAGAGACCCGCGCGCGTCAATCGACAACCGGAGAAAGAGGAACAAACGAAAGTGCGAGAGGACGAGAGAGCGACAGAGAGAGAGAAGATAGAACACGCGAGCAGAGGAAGTCGTTACGGCGAGGGCGAGGGGGAGAAGAGGATGCTCTGAAAAGAAGCATTGTCCGCGTTTCCGAGCGTTTTCCTCCGGTCTCGATCCACGGAATACGCGTGCACACGCTTTCGCGAGCTGCTGCCGCGCGCGTATCGGTAGCACCGCGACGCAACAGAATGACTGAGAAGGAGAGCGAAAGAGAGAGAGAGAGAGAGAGAGAGAGATCCAGATAACGAGCGTCGGTGAGAGTCGTCTCCCTGCGGCAAGAATGAACACGGGGGTGTTGCGTGTGTACGCGCGCGGTTGGTTACGCGAGCGAACGGCCGTCGAAGACTGAGAGAAACGCGGACACACGGAGAAGAGGGACCCTGACGAGGAGAGGACCGCGAGGACATCGAAACACCTTAACACATCCGAACGTCGAAACATCCGAGACGACGCGACACGGGCCCGTCCGAATCCGGCGACGAAGCTCTGGTGCCGCGCGTCCGCTCGAAACCGCCGCGACGACGCGCCCTGCGGGACCGTGAGCGGAACTTTGGAGCTAAACAGAAGTTAGCTTTCGACGATGTTTCTCTGCCATACGACGCCAAAGCTCTGTTCACAGACTCGCCGCATCGCTAACGCGTAGTCCCCGCCCGATCTTCGCGGACTCGTCTCGGGGAAGGAGATCCAACACGATCGATTCGAGGCGAGTCGAGGAGTTCGAAGCCGTGTGTGCGCCCATTGGGCGCTCGTCGCAGGGTCGCCCTTCGGACCTTGCTCGTCGGCCTCTACCCTCGAGGGAGACTCGGAGAAGCGGGCGAAAACTATACATTTCTCGGGAGCACGACGCGTTTCCTGTGGACGCGCAGCATCGAGCCGCGTTCCTACTTCCGCAACGCGAATCCGTTCGACTCGATGATAGGGCGAATGTAAATAGTATATCCCGTGAATGGTGCGGGGTAAGAAGTAATTCTGGTCAAACATCTTGGATTATATATGCTGTACAGAGAAATGTTTCAAATAAAATGTTATTTCCTTGTAGACGCGGAGAATCTTGCACGGCGTTCCATTGATCCTCGAACGGAGCGCGGTGGGCGACGTTCGCGCGAAATTCACCCGGACAAAGGTTACTTTCCCTCGTCGGCGCCGCGATCGTCCGTCTTTTCGCAGCGTCTTCGATAGCATTCCGATTAGCATACCTCTACGATACGGTAATGTCTCTCTTATCGACGCTCGGATTCTCCACTAAAATGGATAATTTGGGAAGACGAGACACGATTGTTCGAGCCTCGCGGCTCGTTTTCATACTTGTGGACAATTTATAACTACAACGATAAACCGCAAGACTCGAATAATCGTATCTCCTCTTCCCAAATTGTCCATTTCTGTGCGCAATCTGGGCGTCGATTGGAGAAACATTACTGTATCCCGCTTCCGGCTGATCGTGTATTCGCACCAAATACGCGTTCTTACACTACGTTTCGTTTCCACCGTGTCGTCAGCCTGCTACGTCGTTTCCGTTTGTACATAATAGTGGTAACAACTATGATAGCAACAACAATGATAATAATAATATCAATAATATCGATAATCATTATAATAATGGTAAGAAGAATAATAACACGATTACCAGGAAAGATTAAATTGCGAATACATGTATCGTATCCCTCGCGAAGTCACGTCCACCGAGAGCAGCGCGTTCCTTATCGTCGTTCTGCCAAGTCGACCGATACTATAATTCTCGAGCTGTAGGTGAGGAACGCGCGTCGGCACCCTGGGGCGATATCCGAGGCGCTTCGAAATCGTGTAGAGCTCTCTGTTCGAGGCGACGAGAATTTTTTCGAACACGCTTTTCCAGGCTCGATCGCGGGCGTCGCGGGATCATCGTGATCACCTTGACGAAAACTCTACCGGGCAAACGCAGAAAGAAGCCGCCGCCGCCGCCGCCGTCGGGTTCCAATTAGTCTCTCCCGGCTCCCGACGCGGCGCGAACACACGCGCACACCGACGTCGGAGAATCGCGCGCCTTCCGTTAGACATCGGGAACGTTGCCGTGCGGCTCTCCTCGGCACGGCTGAATTTCAGGAAGCCGTAATTACACAGAGCGGTTAACATCCACGTAACTGCGATATACGTGCGCGTCGACGCGTACACGTGCACGTACACGTATACGCGGAGTAGCTGAAAACGAGAGGCGAAGGGGGATGGAGGGCTGGCTGGTTAGACGGAGGGTCGAGGAACGAATGCTCTCCTACGAAAAGCCCGACGGATAATCGATGGGTACGTATTCGACGGAGAAATTCCCCATTTGTATTCCGGAGATCCGACGATCGAAGGTGTCGCGATCGTTTTTTCTTTTGCCGCGTGAAAACACGTTTCGACGAATCGGCCGAACGTCGCGAAACGGTCTCTCGGGATCGACGACCATATCGAACGAGGGCGGCGGAGAATCAGCGACGCGAGTTTCGCGGGGCGTGGGGCGAGGAGCGGGAACGACAGCGGGGAAGGAACGTTCTCTGAGACGACTTCCGGACCGGAAGTTTAGCGCGTCGGCGCATAAATTGAACATTCCATGCGACGCGCGAGGAACGAACGTGAAAGAGGAGGAGAAAGGAAAGAAAACACGGCCGGCCATCTGTTTCACTTGTTCGTGACCGATTCGTGACGGTTCGCGTTAATCAAGAAGAAGAGGAAGAAAAAGAGAGCGACGCCGACGCCGAGGAGCGGTTGCGGTTGCGGCTGCGGCTGCGGCTGCGGCTGCGGCTCTCCGTTCTCGGGTGCGTTGGTTCGGCTCGGCTCGGCTCGGCTCGGACTCGCAAAGGGGCATAGAGGGCTTCGCGAGGTTCGCCGAGTGGCAAAGGGAGGCAAAGGGGGCAAAGGATGGCAAAGGGAGGCAAAGAGAGGCAAAGGGAGGCAAAGGGGAAAGGGATCACCGAGCCGAAAATAAGAAGAGAGCAAAGTGGCAGGCTGGCTGGTCCAGTGTTGTCACGTGACCGGAAGTGGCCTCTTCCCCACCGTTCGGCTCCACCTTCGATGCCGAGACCTGTACACGGATCCCCCACCCTCCCCCTCGGTGCCCCCCTCTTGCCATCGGCCTCATCCGGTTAGCGATGGCCATTCAATTCCCTCTGTTGCGAGTTTTGCGAGCGATTTAGCTGTATAAAGAGGCGAGGCGTAGCGATGGGACCGAATCGCGGAGCATCGACGAGGACTTTTAGACGAATCGATCCGACGGGTCGAGTGGCCGATACACGGTATCGCGGCTCTTTCGAAATTGTCTAAAACGTTTCGCGGTAATATCTAGCCGAAAGGAAAAGCTTCGGCGAACAGCCGCGTTCGCTCGATCTCGATCGCGCGTGACTCGCGACGGTGTTCGCTTGGTCGACGGTTCGATCGTGGAAGAAAGTAGCTGTCGAGTAACGTTGATCGAATGGAATTAGACAACTCCGTGGTCGGGTAAATCGGAGTCGACCGGGCTCGGCAGCGACTCGAAGCCATCGCTATCTCCGGTTACTTATCCCTTCCTCTTCGCTCGAACGAACGCATCAACGAGGGAAGATTGGCCTGGCTCGCTTTTGCCTTCGCTTCGCCTCGCCTCGCCTCGCCTCGTCTCGTCTCGTCTCGTCTCTCCTCGCCACAACGGCTCGTTCAACCACGTTCGAAGAAGTCAACGCTACCGGTGACGTCCTTTAACCCTTTTCCGCTCGAAACTAGTTTCCAGGCCGATACAATGTAGGCGCGCAGCAGCGACAGGATAATTTCACGGTGCGAATCGGCTCTCGGCTCCGGCAGGCCGCTGCGCCGAGCTGCACCGAGCTGCACCAAACTGCATCGAGCTACACCGCGCGATACGCGCTACTTATCGTATCGCTTTCGACGAAGGATGCGCGTCGAGCGGAGCAGAGAGCGGATGCGATCGAAACCGGGAGGGAGAAACCGACGAAAAAGTGTCGTATCCCCCCGCAGCGCAGGCGAGATCGTTCGCCGGTGCCGTGCCTTCCGCTCGATACGTTCCGATAACGACGCGATCGTTAATGAAAGAACAGTCGTAAAGGCGCGGAGATAAGGGCACCGTTTAGTCCGCGCGCGACACGCTCGTGTACCCGCCTCGTTAACGATCCCACAGAAATCTGGCATCCGATTGCCGCGGATCGATTTCGGAAAGCTCGCGGCTCCGAGAGAAGCGCGACGCGCTCGTACATTCGCCTAGAATTTAACCTCGCGATGCTGGCGCAAACTTTTCACCTCTCGCATTTGCTACCTGTTCGACCCGTGCTATATAACCGTGCCATCATTTTCTCCTTTCGGTTGCTTTCTTACGAACGCGAATCGGCGACAACGGCGAGCTCAAAGGGTGCGTACACCGAGTCCGTGATTTAACCTGAGAAATGGGCGCGGCCGCGGAACAATACGAGCCGCGGAGACGGTTCGGTTGTACAGCGATGTCTCCCTAACCGACGCTTGGATTGTGCAGAGAAATGGACAGTTTTGGAACAGGAGATACGACTGTTCCGGCTCTGCATGTTTTTAAAATCGTTGACAATCGGTAACTATAAAAGCAAGTCGCGAGGCTCGAATTCGCGAGGCTCCTCTCCCCAAATTGTCCATTTTTCTGGACGATCCGAGCGTCGATCAGGGAGACACTACTGTACAACGAACGAATCGGTCGGCACGCGTCGAAAACGGTCGAGTCGCGGTCGCGACAGCGCGAGCGGAATCGTGTACGGCGAACGAATCGTACGCACGCCGGCGAATCGTGGCGAAGCGACAGCGTTCGCGAGCGTTTCACCGTTTCCCCGGATTTTTCACGAACAAGAATAGTTTTATAGTGCTTTACGAATATTTGAACCTCGCCCAAGCATCGCTGTTTCTATCGCGAACCCGTGCAACGGCAGCTCCGTCCGTTCGAAGCAGCGATCGCGTCACGCGTCGTCGTTCGAACGAAAGCATCGTCGACCGATGGCTTTCTGTACAACATCGGGAACGATGAATCGCGACGACGCCTTTGGAACGACAAGGGACCGGTTGTTCGACGGGACACCCTGCCCGAATCTGGCCTAGATCCGGCCCTATCGTGCTCGATACGATAGTTTGTCGACCGTCGACCGAATCGGAAGCGCGTTCCATCCGAGCGGACGTTATCGACGGCTATCGTCGAACATCCTCGAACAGCGACCACGTTCTCGAATCGGTCTTCGCATCGTGGAATGCGTCGACGCGTCGTTCGCGATCGGTTTGCCCGTCGATCGACAAAAAGGTTTCGGAGCTCGACGCGCGATGCACGATGCACGATGCACGATGCACGATGCACGGTGCACGGTTCACGATGCGCGCGGCCTAATAGAGACGGTCATTGTACGTGCGAGGCATCCGCGGAGCGCATCGTTCCGGAAACGCAAAAATCCCGGGGCGAATAATACGGGGCCGGGGAAGGAATCGAGATTGATAGGGTGACCGTTCCCGGAACGGCCGCGATATTCCGAGAGCCGCTTGGATATTTCCAGTGTCGTTCCGCGAACGTCTTATTAATCTCGTTATCGATTGGCGGCTCGCTACCGCGGACAGGCTCCCGGAGGTAGAGCCGACGCGATAAACGATTGTATTGCGGGAACCGGTGATGACACGCGAACCAGACTAGAGAAACACTGTTGTTTCGTTGTTCGGAGCGATTGCAACGGAAACGGGGAAGAGCAGAGTGTCCGTCGGCCTGGTCGGAGGAGCGAAGAGGCGACGACGGGAGCTGGTTCGCCGTAGCGGAGGAAGAAGAAGGTTGCGCGAGTAGCCGGAGAAAATAGAAAGAAGAGAGCGAAACTTATGCGAGTAGAGTCAGAAGGTTAAACGAGGAGAGATTAGGGATACGCGAGATGCGGGAGAAGGTTGGACGAGTAGAAAGGGGCGTGTTTATAGGAGCGAGCAGAGAGAATATCGTACGGAAAGAAATGTTGCGTGCGCGCCGGAATAGAGGCGAAGAGAGTCGCGGCCTGCGAGAGCGCGCGTTGTTGGAAATCGAGCATTCGCCGCGAGCGAAAGGAACGCTAATTAAGACGGAAGAACGATAATCGAGTAATAGGGTGTATCGCGCGAACCGAATAGAGTACGACCGTCGGTCGCGCCTATCCGCCGACGCGAACCGAGTCCAGAGCCACGGTTGTAATCGTGCGGTTCGAAGGATCCGCAACCTGCGAAGGTATCCGCGTCCTCCGAACGGTTTTACGGTTGGTCAGGTTTATCGGACGGCGAATTAAATCGGCGAAATATCCGGTGACGAGGGAGAAGAACCGAGAGAAGAAGCGAACGGGAGAAAGAGAAAGAGTAAAAGAGGGAGAGAGAGAGAGGTAGAGAGGGGGGCGTTCGTGCCCGCGTCAGCAGAAAAAGAGAAACGGAAAGAGAGAGGGAATGAGAGAGATTTTACGGAGATCCGCCGTATGAATTTATTATCGCGTCAGGATAGCGGAGGAAGCAAGGTCACAAGGAGAGGGATCGACGAGAGAGACCCATCGGCTGTACGAATATGATTTACGATCTAGCAGGGCAGATTAAGCCACGTTCCACGCAGATACGCTGCGCGAAAATTTATTAACGCGAGAGAGAGAGAGAGAGCAAGAGAGACTTAGCGAGAGGAAGGGAGCGGGAGAGGGAGAGATTAGAATGACCGAGGTCACGGAACGTCATTCGCGAGATTCGAGTCGAAGGGATGTGGCCGACGTCCTCGTCGCTCAGTTCACGTCGTCCCATCGTCGTCGACGACAGAAAAGGTGGCTGGGATTTTAAGAGGACGAGTCAAATAAAGAGGACAACCGGCGAAGCATCGAAATTTTGAACGGCCTCCAAACTTCCCGAGCGGCCGCCGGTGGGTGGTAGTGCTGTCCGCGTTGGGAAACCATGCCGCCCTTTGACGGGTTTCGAGCATGTTGGAGAACAAGTGGCCCCGGCCCCGAAGTTTTCGTTCGTCGACGACGACGGTTCGACGCGTCTCGGTGGCCCTTTGGTCGCCGATCGAGGGTTCGTCGGGTACGGCGGACCGAGCGGTTACGGTGTCTGGAAAGACAGCCGGCGATCGAATCGGATCGAAGAGGTCGAGGTGGAACAACGATTTTCGATATATGTACATATAAGAGGACGGATGCGATAGCGGCGTGCGCGTAGCGACGTTAGCGTGATGTTTTCGCGACAGGGCGTGCGAGCGTTCTATATTAAACTCGACGAACACGGGTAGGCCGATTGCGAAACGGACGCCTGATATTTTCGTTACATCGCACGAGTAACTGCTTCCGGCCGAGCGTTCCCTCTCTCTCTCTCTCTCTTTCTCTCTCTCCGTCTCCTTCTCTCTCTCTCTCTCTCTCTCTCTCTCTCTCTTTCTCTCGCTCTCGCTCTCCCTTTCTCCGTCCCTGTCTATCCAGTCGCGCTTTCTTTATCCACCGTCCTTCCTCTCGCATCCTGCTTTTCCACTCGCTCGCCCGCCAGGCAAACTCTATTTTTCTCGCTTTGCTCGCCCAGCTCCCTTATTCGCTCGTTTCTCTCTCCTCGCCTCTCCTCTCCCCTCCTCGTCGCTCCGCTCTCCACCGCTTCGCGTCCCGCTCGGTATTCTCTCTCTCTCTCTTTCTCTATCTCTCTGTTTCTCCGTCTCGTTGTTCGTCCCTTTCTCTCGAACATCCCCGGTATTCTCTCTCTCTCTCTCTCGCTCTCTCTCTCGCTCTGTTTTGTGGTTGTTGCGCGCTCGGAGAGAGACCGGGCAGATGCCCGTGCTTCAGCCGGCCGGAAACACCTACGCATCATGGTAGCGTGCGAGGTAGCGATGCCCAGCGGTGGCTACGAGCCGCTCGCGGACCTCGCGCACCTCGATCGCCGAGCAAAAAGCGAGCGAGTCGTTCGAGAAGGACTTCGACCGGTCCAACGGAAAAATACGATCGCAAAAAAGATCCGGGCATCTTGTTCGCTAGGAGTCTCAAAGTCGTTGTCCATCTTCGAGCCACGAGGAAGACGCTTCTTCGAACAGTCGGTCGACGATTACGAATCGACTATCGATAGCCGAAAGATCGACCGATTCCGAACACCCTCGGAAATCCCACTTTCCGAGCATATCGACCATTTTTCCCTTCCTCGTTTCATTTCGGCAATCGTAAACCGTAACGAGGCGAACGTTGCTAGCGACGGGTACGATTCTCTCGCGAGCCTTGTTCGTTTCGTGTGCTATGAAATTGTTGCAAGGCATTCTGCATCGCTGCATACACGACTAGAGCCGCCGTATCTCATTCTTTCATTCGGTAAACAAATGGAGCAGAGTCGACGAGAAGTAGAGATTGCAACAGGGGCGAAGACAACGTCCAGCGAACTCTTAGATCTCGTATCCGAACGAGTAGAGGAGACAAGTTGTTGCTGTTGTTGATTACGGATTCAGCAATGAGTGTGATAGCAACGAGAGAAGAGAGGGAGACGCAGAAAACATTGTAGATAATTAGATGTTTGCCATGCCAGGTGCGATCCGAGAGTTGCAACCGATTATGTACAGATCCGACGTGTTTCCGCTGCGGAATTAATTGAATGTTATCGACCGAAGGAGATCTCGACACTATCGCTGGCTACGTCGAAGCTTTTTTCTCTCCTGCCGTGTCACGGTGCCGGACAGTTTTTTGCGCGAACGTCTTCTACAACGGCACAGTCTCGCCGAGACAACTTCGGAAGATAGATCGATTCGCTTCGCTTCTTCCCTTCGCTCCGCTTTTTATTTCGCTGGTCCAGATACGGTTGTTCGTCTTATTCGTCTGCCACGTATTTCGTCGCATTTTCGACACGCGATTTTTCGTCGCGAGTCTCGTCGAGTTTGATCGCGCGTCGCGATTAAAGCCGCGCGTCGAACGGTTCGTTTGTTTATTGCAACCGACTAGCTCCGCGACTCGGGAATAAGACGTTATTGCTTATCGCAATAAGAGTCGCGGTCGCGAAGAATGGAACGCGGGGGATTCGAGGAATGCAAGGTGCGTGTAACAGGCGTGACCTTCCCAAGGTCAGTCGGAGTGTAAAGGAACAATGAACACGGGACCCGATCCGTGTTAGTACGCGGCGATACAGTACAACTGTGCTAACAGCAATTACGGTGTCTCAACGGAACCACGCTTTGTTAGTTTCTGCGACCATTCTCAGCTGGGCCGGGAACGAGGGATTCGTTGCTAATTCGGATGCAAATATCTCCGATCAACGATCGTCGACCGGGAAAATTCGTTTCTAAAATCGTTCGAGAATTTTACAAATTCGCGCGAACCTAATTTCATTGGAATCTGTAGAATCTCTTCTAATATGGTTCGACAGTTAAATTCCTCTAATCTACTTCGAATCTGCAGTTTCGTTATCCGATCGACTTAATTATATTCGCTCCGCGAGACCTTTTGGACCAATGGTTCTGTTATCGACGTATCGTTAAATGTTTCCGATGTCCCTATTCGATATCTCGACTCGCCCTGTTTCGAAATGCTTTTCTTTTCAATTTGAATATCTACGCTACCTACGGAGCATAGGCGCGTTCGATTTAAACTGCGCGGCAATTTTCAAACTCGTCGAGAAACAACGCACCCTGGCGTCAACGGTCGAAATCCGTTAGAACGCTGTCCAAAAACAATCCGGCGTCGTCTAGTGTCCTCTAATCGTATCATAACAAAACGCGGGAGAAGCAAGGAATCACCGCTTTGTTTAGTTCATCGTAGGTAATCGTTCGAGTTTCCTCGTGAATTTTCCAGTATTACAACGTGCAGCATTGAAAATGTCTGCCTCGAATTCATTGGATGTAAAGCATTGGACGGATTTACCCGAGTCAATCGATTCGACTTTCGTTTCGATCCCCGGGGACTACGATTATCCGCACTACATTTCTGAGAAGGGAGAATGGGTCCATAAAAGAAACTTCAAAGGTACATGAACGCGATCAAAGAATTTCTACTTTTATCGAGGTTCGTTGGTATCCGTTATATTTTACGAATTGTTCTAGGTAGAATGTATGTAACCGAACCTTTCTTGATCAGGGAATTGAACAGATTCGTACCTTACTTGGATAACAATTATGTGAGATTTCACATTTTGAATATGCCGGGTATCATAATAGGTAGAATTGAAATAATGGGATTTGTCGTTGCTGTCGCCGAAGACGTTAGATTTCACAAATATCAAGGTGAAATACAATTGATACGAGTTTTATTCCGTACGCGTGAGTCGTAACAAAAGAAGATATTAATCGTAAAAGAATATTTTCAGTTGACGATGGAACGGGTACGATTACTATTTATTACGATAAGAAAAAGTTTGCAAATGATAATATGAAAAGAAAGACGATCGACGAAAAATACATGGCTTATGCGTCGCAGGGAAATTTTGAAGCTTTTAAGGGGAAAGAATTTCCAAAATCTTTTCCCGATCCTCGTCCAAATTTTAATTATCCTCAACATACCAGTATCCGTAATAAGGCAGTAAGTATGAGATTATATAGTAAATTGTAATCTACAATATCGAAAAAATAGGCATAAAAATTTATTTCATTGCTGCACAGATTTTAGAACATAACTGGTCGTTAGAGACAAAAAATGGTTTGTTGGGCAAATACATACGCCGTCGCGATTATGTCCACGCGGTAGGCTATTGTAACATGGACTTTATGTTCCGTAAAAAACCAACAGATGAAATAACTTTGAAAGACTTGTCTCTTTCGAAAATAACCTTTTTTGCAATGAATGTATCCTGCATAACTGAACATGCGTACAATGCCAAACTGTTTATGTGGATCAACAAATTCGTACGGATCAGATACGACGAGGATCCGAATAAACCGGAACTCGTTCCAGATTATAAGTCCTGGCTCAAAAACGAAGACGAAGACCAAGACGAAGACGAAGACGAAGACGAATAAATCGCAACACGTATCGAAAAGTTTTTATTTAGAAATAAACAGTTAAGCATTTAGTATATTTTTTATTCGTATGTTTAACGTCACATGTAAGATAAAGATCAAGAATTCTCCACTGTCGGTTGCGTAACAAAATTAAACGAATCGCGCGCGATTCTGGTGGGTTATCAAACAATTTTGAAACTCTTTCTGTTGCATGAAATTATGCAGATGCTTATTTTATAGAGTATGCTCGCTAATTATCATAAATTATGATATAAATACGTATATGATCTTTAGGTAACAGAATTATCTGTTTCGTTTACAGTAGTATTAACAGTAATATCATCTGCTACCGCTTCGTTAGCTAGCTCGTTACTTGCACCAGACGGAGCTTTATTCGATAGTATTATTAGTTTATGATAATGGCAGCTAGTTAACGGCAAATGTGGCGCTATTTCGCTAGGTTCGCAGAACAAGTGCGGGGGTACCTAAAAGAATATAGAATTCATTAAGATCCGAAGAATGCAACGTTATTTCATTACCCTACTTACTCGCAATTCCGACACCTTAGCTTCTCTTGTTGTGTATTCGCGTAACAAATAGTCCTGACCGAACTCGTGATAAATGCGAGTATCGTTTACTCTTATCATTACGTTATCGATTCTTAAGAAATATCTTAACAAAATGAAAAAGCTGCTAGGCATGACCCGCTGTTTAAAATTAAAGAAAACCAATTACACATTTTGCACAGCGATTGTATGCTAACAATTATATGTGCTATACCGGGTGTCCTCTAACGTCGATGATACAACCGGGAAAAGGACTTAAAAACATCCTCTTCACGGTTGTTCCACAAGTACCGGGACACTCCGTACGTAAGATTGCCGACTCACAATTTTTACAGAACAAACAGCTATTCCATTATCATGCAGTTCATCCTCGAATAGCGTTAAGTCGTGATAAAATAAAATTTTATCCCTTCTCTTCAATTTATCCATATCGATTCGTTCGTGAGTTTCTTCGAATTTAAAATTATTCATTGTGCCGGTGTAGGAGGTAGTAAAAGTCCAATCGAACGGTTTTATTTTTTCTTCTAAATATTCACTGTTTTCGGATCTGTTTTCAAACAATATTTATGTAAAACCTAATGAACGAATCGGTCAGAAAATCCAATGTACATGCCTAGATTCCTTCCACACTTCCGCGCAAGCAAGTTGAACATGAATTTTTCCATTGGAGACAGTTTTCAATGCATCCAGCGCATTGAATTGTAAGTATGCTCCATCCTGATGTTTTAAAGTCAATATATTGTTTGGAAATACCATATCAGGCATATGCGGTAGTTCCAAGGTACGGCTAAAACTGTAGAGTTTGTAATAAAGTATAAGCCTGCCATAGTATCGTATCGATCCATGAAACACAGAACGTACACGCAAAATTGGCAGGGACTGTCTTTGTCGTTGCAGCCGTCTTCGTTTTTGGAGCACTTAGAATGCAATATATGCGACTTCGTGTATTTGATATGCCAAGGAGGGAAGATGTGTTCTTCTTGATTAACAGGAAGTCTTAGGATATCGATTCCTCCGTGAACTTTAATCGCTGTCATGACCTAAAACAGAATATTAAGAAACACCGTGGACTCAAATAATAGTCTTTCTTTTCTAACATGGAATTTTTTAAATAATTCTTTATATAATGCAGCGAATACCAGGTTTTCTATGCGCAATGCATTCTATGTTCCTTATTTATATCGTTTAATTCACAATTGAACTTGTGAGATCAAAAGAAACAATCTCTAACCTGTCAATCGTTGCTTACTAACAATACTTACGATGGATATCCGTTCACCACGATCATCAAATTAATTTCCAGCGGATCTTCCGAATTTTCTTTTTATTACCTAGCGGCCATACTGTTTCCTGCTTGAACTTTTTATCTTTTCGATCTTAACTTTTATTCGAATCTAACAATTACCGTTTCACCGCAAGCCTGCATTACCTACACAGTGCTGCGGGTAAAAGTGCAAGTACATTTTACCACGGACAAGGCATCGAAGTAGACCAGACATCATATGGAATTTCGTGTCGCACGTTCTGAATTAACCCGCATCGCTCAAAACCCCCGTAATCCCTGAAATGGCTCGTAATTCGAATCTTTTCGTACGGTTCGTTCTTCATTTACATCTTTATGTATTTATGAACAAATTTAAACTACTTCGTAATCAACGTATAATTAAGATTATGGAAAAAAAAGCATTGAATGAAATATTTTGCCGCCAGTTTGTTTATTAAATGGACGCGAGGATTAACGAAGTTTCTTTTACCGTAGCAATTTATTCGGTAATTTATGGAAATCGGTGAAACGAGCGATACGTGAACAGGGTGTGCGATTCGAACAGCAGATATGCTTTGTATAAAGGTCGCGATACACGGGAAATCGAATTCCAGTTAGAGTTTTAAGAGCTCCGAACGGTCTACCATCGCATCGCGGTTCCATACGGAAATAACCGGAGCGATATTGTGGAAGATTCGAGCGAACCCAATCAGTCGAGCTCGGGTGTCGGAAGCGGTTACGTGGGAACGGGGAAAGTAAACGAGGTCCTAGAATGACGAGTAAAAAGTCGAGTCTGACCGTGCAGTTTAATCAGCCGTGCGACAACGTCGACGAATCCGCGAAGAAGAGACAGATATTTATGCAAAAGATCAAAGCAGCCACCGGTCACGTTGGTCTGCTAATCATCCTGATGCTCTACACGGCGATCGGCGGTTTGGTAAGACTGACTTCGGTGTTCCGCACGGTTCATCATCCCCCTTAGAAATCAGTTTCCCTTTTCGTTTTCCTTTCGAGACGTCGATCATAGTGTCACAGTTCAGCCGAATTTACTATCTCGCTCTGCGTACACAGCTACACTTGTAGGCAGACATACAATAAGATATTGAACCGAAGCTGGGGTTCTCGGAAGCAAAGCGTAATTTAGATTTATGTCTCGAGAGTCTATCCTCGGCAAGTCGGAATAAATTATCCAGCTTGAAAGATTTTCGACGCTTCTATTCGAAATTATATCCTTTTAACACACAGATATTCGTTCGTTCTATGGAAATTAAAGCGATAATCTACGAAACGTGGAGACGTTTGCAAATAAATGTTAATAATAACTCTCGGGGGTCCGTCACTGTTCCGTGTACACACCGGAACGAACCGAAACGTGTCTAGTTGTTTAGTTACAGGGTTTTATGCAGCGTGTAATATTTATAGAGATAACATCGCGAGACCGGATTTCCAATCGGCATCTTTATTTTTAGCGGTGGGCCAATCGCACAGGACCCGTTACGATTCTCCCCGGTGCCTATTCGGTGTTTTACGGTCGAAAATAATTTCTTCCATTCGAAAAACCTATCTCGACGTTACGACGCGCTACACTTCAACCGTAGACGGCGGAATGATTAATGTCGATGTCGACCAACACGTGGGTATACTTTACTACTCCGGCTATTCGAGACTCGAGAGGTTCGCAAATACGATACCCCATCCGAGATGACTTTTGCAGCAGTATATGCATACGGGTGTACAAGAATCCGTAATTTTCGCGTCTGGTCGGATCGAAAATACATCTCGGGACCAGCGGTGTTTTCAAAAATATCTTGCGAGCAATAAAACGCTTTCGGGACCCGGCCTAACCCGACCCTAGTCCGACTCGAACCGTACGAATCGTTACGAGATCGTTACGAACAGTTTCAGTCCAAGATCGTTAAATTTTAGACGTTAATTTCCGTAGTCGTTTCATTTCTCAAAAAATGCCCGCCCACGGGCATCGAAACACTATCACCGCATAGCGGTCAACGTCCGAACTAGATTTCTTCTATCATCAGTCATCAGTGTCGCAGAAAAACATTAATTATCGCACGATTGTAGAATAAACATGTAAACCAAGAGTATGGAAGTGTTCAGGAGAATTTGCCGCATCGATGCCGTGTGAAAGATCTAATTACAAGATCTAATTAATTAACATGAAAGCGAATCAAACTTAAAAAAGCAATTAATTATGTTTCACAATGTTGCGATTCGTTCTTTTAATATAATATCGATGCGGTATATTCCCCTGAACAAGTACGTAGCCTTGGTTTATATTTTCATGCCCTAATTTTGCCACAATTAATATTTTCAAGCGCGCGTTTGTATTGCGCAAATGGGAGCGATCGCGGCGCCTCTTTTGGAGAAAAAATGAAGCTTTATCGGGGTCCGTACAGCGCCAATTAGTCCGGTGACGAAACGCTCAAACTGCTAGCCAAACAGTGTCGCTTCTTGCGGCAAAAGCTGGAAGCTCCTTTCGAGGTTCGTACAGCACCAATTAGTCCGGTGGCAAAACGCTCAAACTGTTAGCCAAAATCGACTATCGGTAATTTGGCTAATAGTTTGAGCGTTTCGCCACTGTACTAATTGGCGCTATGCCGACCTCTGAGAAAGCTTCTCGATGTTGGCGCAAGAGACGCCACCGTATCTATCAACGGCGGTAGATCTGGATTGCTTTTAATTCGGAAAAAGCGTTAAAGTATTAAAGTAATATATGAATTTATTCTGTGCGCATGTTACACGTACGAGAACAGGTGTTCCGGCACATCGAGCTTCCGGCGGAATTGGCGCGTTTAGAAAGATTGCGCACGAATCTGCGTAACCAGAGACGTTCGTTCGTCGACTCTATCTCGAACAACACGGACGTGTCGAACTTGCAAACTTTGGTAAGAGTCCGAAACTTTGGGTATATCCTGTCGCAAGATTCTATTCGAGACGGTATATATGCGAGTTACAGGTGAGGGTGAAATTGCGTGCTTACGAGGATGTCGTTCAAGAAGCTGTACAGGGGGGTCTGTCGGTCGGCTTCGTGGCGGACACGATCGATCAAAACGATCGTGGCACGGCGGATCTACCGCCAATCGTCACTGAAAGATGGAGCGTCCTTCAAGCGGTTTTCTTCGCGAGTACCGTTCTCACCACCATTGGTACTTTGTCTAAACTCGCAAATATCCTTCCCGCTCGCGACTAACCCGATCGATCGAAGCAGGAAGTGGACCGAGGCATTGGCTATCGAATAGTAGTTGATCGATCTAATTTAAGCTCCTCCTTAAATATTTCTATTTTAGGGTACGGGAACGTCGTTCCTTCGACCAGCTGGGGGAAGATCTTTTGCATCTTCTTCGCTTTCGTTGGGATACCGCTCACGTTGATAGTGATAGCCGATTGGGGAAAACTGTTCGCCGGTGCGGTGGTTAAGGCCGGATTGGCGGTAAAGTCGAAGCTTCCGTGTCGCTGTTCGCTGTCCTGCCTTCCGGCGTATTTGGCGGGGAGGCGATCCCTCGGTAAGCTTTACCGATATACGGTATAGAGACGTGGGTTTGGAAAAGAGAATCGTTTAGTTCAACAATAAATATTAATTAGTTGGCGTACAAAAACGGCTACCAAATTCTCTCGCGTATCCTTGTAGGAGCTCTAGCAGCGATCGCTCTCCTGTTTCTGTACCTTGCTTGCGGCGCGGGAATGTTTATGCTGTGGGAGGACGACTGGGATTTCTTCGATGGATTTTACTTTTGCTTCGTGACGATGACCACCATCGGATTCGGAGACCTGGTCCCGAGTAAGTTAACGAGGCATACGATACCGGGATTCGTTGGCAGAACGAGAACACGAAAACAGCCCGTCTAGCAATTGTAGTTTCGTTTTTCTCGGGCTAGCAACGTCTATCTTGGCCAGACGGATACACGTTCGTGTCTCTGTCCGTACGGTGCGTGTTCATACGTTATTATAGCCACGCTTCGTATCGTCGATCGTACGTAGAGAAGCCGAAGTACACTCTACTGTGCACCCTTTACATTCTGGTCGGTTTGGCGTTGACCAGCACCATCATCGAGCTCGTCAGGCTCCAATATACTCAATCGTGGAGGAGGCTCCAAAGACTTAGCGGACCGTTAGCCGAGGCTATTCGAAGACTGGGAGAGCAAGCTGGCGGCGACATGTCCGCGTTCCATTCGGATCTCAGGCACGATCGATAGAATTTTCAATAACGGTCTCGCAACAACAACGACTTCGTTGTCGCGTGTCGGTTTTATATCGATCGATTCAATTTTTAGGAAAGTGTTGACCGTGGTGTCGATGCCACGTTTGAAATGGTCGGCCTCTTTCAACCGCACGGATTCGAAGGACCAAGAATGGGAGGAAGCGGTGGAGGCTGTGCTCCGTGATATCGCTGCAACGGCGAACAACTCGCAGTCGAATAAAAAGCCGATCGTACAAATTGTCATTTACGAGTCTAGCGTTTGACTTGTCGGAATTGTTCGCTGAAATTTGTTCGAGAAACAATTTCAGAAATTGATTCGCGAGCCAGGACTAGGAAGCTCTTCCAACAAGCGACAAGATGGCGACCCAGCGGCAACGTGATTACCGGATACGCTGAAGCTAACGTTTATTTATGCTGTTACGGTAAAAAAACATTTTATAAATATTCTTTGTAATATATTGTATTAGCCTTCGGTGTCTAGCTTGCATAGAGCATCATCGGGTTTGTCGAAACGATTGAATCGGAAAGAATATTAAAATACACCATAGATCGTTCTATCGCAGATGGCGCCGCAGATAGGCACGAGCAAACGGACGATTCTCGTGTTCGGTGATGCGTAGGTAAAAGGGAACGTCAAGTTCCGTCGGTATCGAAACAACAGCCAATGAGATCAAAGAGAAAATAACTGGCTGAGAAAAGATCCTCGATAACCTCGACGGCGTGCCCATCTTTCTGCTCGTATATACCGTGGACACTTTGTGGTTCGTTTTCTCAAACGATTACGTGTGCCAATTACTACGGATAAAATTGTATTTCATCTTCTTTCACCCGCGTTCCCAAGCTGGCTTCGAATTGGGCGCGAAAATGCGCGCGTCGATGGTTTTGCTAGGGCTTGGGTACGCGCAGTAGCCGATACAATCCGGAGTTCGATCCGCAGTCCGTATGTTGGACCTACCGGATTGACGAAAACAATAATTTTATAGAGAAGCGGTCGCTAAATTTAGAAATCGCGGCACAACACGAACCGCGACAGGTGACGTTGCTGCGTCCTTGCTCGGCCTTCGTGGTAGTTCTCGGCGACTTACGGGGCCTCCGAGTGGTCCAGATCATGCAAAATTCATCCCCTCTTCGAAGCAACACCGAGATGCCATCGGCTCTCGTGTGCATCGCTTATCGTGTGCGTATATATCAACAACAAATGCGATTAGAAAGATCAGATTGTATATTAGCAGTGTGCTCGTACATGACAGTTCTGTGATGATGATGACTCGTGTGAATGTCTGTAATCGAAACGCCTCTTGCCTTATCGTTCGATCGATGAAAGAAAAACCAAGATTAAACGAATTATTTAAAAATATTATATTGCTGTTCACATCGAAATACTTTAAGAATCATCTAGAGAAAGAGTCATATTATGTCATAAAGCATTGTGTACAACAACGCATATATGCGCTACATCGTATCGTATATGTCGAAATATTTGTTTAGTCTAACCGTATACCATGTCGAATTTAGTATGTAAATTATGTTTGAAACATATTACCGGTGTTTGCAATACATTCAGAGTACGTGCTTAGATGCATCCAGTGATTGTCAGCAATCGTTAGGATGTGTATACAAAAATAATGAACCATTCGGGCGGCATGAATCATTTTAGCGTCGTGTTCATGCGTTTGGTTTGCGCGGTTTATTTGAAAGCGTACAATAGGATAACTGTTCGTTATTTGCTAAGTCAATCGCTGTCGCTACGCATTTCTAAATAATAAAGATCCAAAATCTATCGATAAAATGCAGAATAAAAATCTCATACGAATACGAATTCTTCTGTGAAATGTGTGTGAATAATTCGATGCGCTTAAAATTTTACTTTATTTAGCAAGTCAGTATGATGACTGGAACCAAAGACCCTACGGAGAAACCAAAAGTGAAAGAAATCAAGGAGGAGATTATACAACACGATACCCTAATTAAAAGAAGTTTCGCAGATTTTAAGGTCAATAATTATGTGGAAACTTGTCTCGAGTTCTCCAAAGACATGATGGAGTCTATCAGGTGATCGATATATCTATCAGTGTGCAATCGATATAATTTCTCTGGATCGACAATTCGATATTTATTATGCACACTGCCGCTCTAAAGTATGTGGACAATTGCAATTTTTAAAGAATTCGCAACACATAAAATATAGATTACATGTACAATAAATATATTGATTGTATTCCAGCAACTTTACATTTAGTAAATTAAGACATTAATTTAATTCCAGGTACACACTGCATTTTCGAAAGTGTTCGCATACTTTTGAACGATGGTGCGTGTCTTTACGAGAATTTGAAATAACGCCGTTTGCATTTGTTGTCGTAGGTTGCTTCTTCAGGAGTTGAAAACTCGTTTCGAAGAATTTCGAAACCAACAACAGTCTATCCTTGATTTATTTTCTTTGTCGAATCTACTGAAGTGGACTAAGGTGGAGCAAATAACTGAAACGATCAATGAAAAACTGCCGAAGCATTAACGTTCCGTCGATAATCGTGTATCAAATACCAAGCATTCGAAGCTACACACAATTCGATTCAAAAGTCAACAATTATATTGATACTCGCGTGCATTCTGAATGTACAATATCGTGAAATTGTTTCGATTAAAAAAAAGTAATGATAACGATACGACTGTAAACTAATTATACATCATCGATACCACCCCGTCCCGTCGAGAAAAGTATAAATAACGGAAAGCACGGTTTGAAAAGTACAGTGTAATTTTCAAACGTAACGTTTCGAGATATATACATATATGTATATGTATATGTATATATACATGTATACGAGATATGCGAGAAGTACGTTGCGTTGCGATATAATATCGATATATAACCGACGCCATCATGAATGATCATGAATTCGCGCCCGTTACCGTTAATATAATGCGTCATATTGTATTTGTTGTTTAATTCGGGAAACCGTGAAAAATCGAGCTTTCTTTTTTGTTCAGTTAATACCGAATTTTTTGCGGATGCTTCATGCACATCACGCGTAGTTAATTGACGTTTTTCTTGGTTACCTCATACACATCCAGTATGCCAACACAATATTGTTTTCTCTGTGCGAGCGACGAAGGAGTTTTCGTGGATATTACCACTGAAAATATACAGAAATTTCGTACACAATTCGAGATTTGTTCATTGGTTAAGGTAAGTTTACCAAATACTTGCATATAGTCGGTTCTACATTCGCTTTTTGTTCGATTCGCTTCAATTTATCTGAGCGTGCGTCGCGTAAGACGCACATTAGCAACAACAATATTCTATCACCAGGATATATTCGAATTTTACGTTTTCTAATTTTCTTTAACCAAAAAGGAAATAATCGAATCTCCTCGTTATATAATCATTACGATATTGGACAAAAGAAACGCGTTACTTTCTACTTATGTATTTCCATTATTTTTCTTAAGAGTGAAGCCCAACAACATCCGGCTTTTGTTTCTATTAGAAAACTACGAAGGCAACCGTTGATCAAATTATTTATTCAATTATTTATTCACGTTTTGGTTTAGTAAATTTTGAAAGAGTTGTCGTTAACCTCTGCTTTCTCTTACACCCAAATATTTTAGGTGTATTCAGGTTTACTTTTTTCTTGTACACACAGCACTGTTCTATGCTTCAATAATTAAATTCTTATTGTTATCTCCTTATTTAAACAGTGTTTCTATCACATATTCTCAAGTAATATTTATGTACATATACTAAATTATAAACAATAAAACAGATTAATTTTGCACAACCGTATCTTCTGTTTTCTATGGATATGTTTATCGATACGCGTGCACACAATGTAAAACACACAACCGAGTTTTCTGAGTTTTCCATTATATAGCTCGCATTAAATTTTATGTTATTATCGCCATTATTAAGCAGTTAAAAAGTTAGTTAAAAAATTATTTGTACTCACGTGTTAAACATAGTTTACTTTTTGTAGGTATCTATATCTAACAAGTCGCAAACTAAAATTTGTCACAAATGTGTGTACGAATTAAATCAGTGCAGTACCTTTTTACAAAACTATAAAAAGAGTTTAAAGCAACAACCTCAAGATTGGAGACCCTATTGCAGTTTATGTTTTCAAATGCCAAAAAATGAATACATCTTTTATCTTAGTAAAGAAGATTCTTTACAATTTAAGTCTATCGAAAAAATACGACAAGTCGTGAACGTCGAGGTATGAAATAATTGTATGCTTTTACACGATCTAATTAATTAAATAATACAATCTCAAAATTGATACTATTGAATGCTGATAGGCTGGTAAGATTCAATTAGACATCGTTCTTGTATGTCTGTCCTGTCGATACACGGTGGATGTGTTGTTCGATTTAAAAAGTTTATCGAATCAAATTGGGTCTATATTGGACAAGAAAACTGAGAAAGACATCGATTATTCAAGGTTTCCAAAGGTGATGAGAAAGTATAACGAATCGTGATCCATCGACAGAGTATAATATCCCTATTATCGTTTTAGGTCAAAACAACTGTTATCAGTCGCAAAACTACCATCACAGAGTCTGAGAAAGCAACATTGAAATCAAGAGAGAATACAAACGGCGATTCCAACATGAAGATATATACGAGATCTAAAGCTAAAGTACAAGATAATAGAGTGAACAATAAAGCCGTTGCAATATCGGACGAACAACTCTGCGTAGAATGTCATAATCCTGTTAAATCTAATAGCGATTCGCGTGTGAATGAGAGGACAGGTCAGAAGAGCGTGTGTAACGACTGTTGGGAGAGTAACCGTTCCAATGCGAAAGACACCGAAGTACATCAGAGCTCGACCGAAACAAAAGTTTGTAAAGTTTTCCTCAAAGATGTATTAGGCCAAACGGCAACGCAGAAGGGGAAGAAGATGAACGAAGTCGAGAAAGATAATCAAAACAAGAAAAAACCAGGACCAAAAGCGATGCCCAAGGAATTTAGGGACATACTCAGGGATTCGGACAGTAGCGTCGTAAAATTGAGTCAGAAACGTTCTAGTAAATCAGCGAATATCGACGATACTGACAACAGCGATGTACCAAGCAAAAGACAAAAACGTGGCTCGAAGGGATCGCTCTCAGACCAAGACGTGAGGATATCATCTAGAAAGACGCGCAAACGAAAAGGTACTGGTCAGAAGTCCGATTCCGATTATCTCGTGAACAGCAACAACGTCAAAGAATCCAACAAGGGTTCTCCAAGCAAGCACAAGACAATTGTTATATCTTCTGCGTCAGACGCGGAAATCGAGATACGTGTACCGAACAGATGCGCGCGTAAAGGATTGAGAAGTATTTTGGCCGAAAAAAATACTTCGAAAGATACAGACGATGGTCCGTCGAAGAAGAAGAAACTAAGATTCACGAACGATCCACTTATGATCATCGATCTGACGAATACATCCGACGAAGGTGGAAGACCTAAAAGAAACGTGGCGAGACGAACCGCCGACAAAGGAGAGAAAATCGTGAAATCGGCCTTGGCGAAGAAGTCGTCGGGAAAAACAGAGTCCTCGGAATCCGAGTCTAAGGATTCTTCCGTCGAAGAAGAGATTGAAACGTACTCTTGCGAAGAGTGTGGAGTTAATTATGAAAATAAAGTCGTATTCCTGACGCATAGATTGTCGCATTACAAGCAACCGAAGTTGGAATTGCAGAAACTGAAAATCGATAATAAATCGAAGGAGGTGTCAGTGGGCGCGAGCGAAGCAGCAGACGAACAATCCGAAGATCAGTCGGAAGGTATAAGGATCACCGTGGACGACGACGACGAAGAGGAGACAGAGTTGGAAGCGAATAATTTGGAGAACAACGCTGAGACAAGTTCTCGCGCGGAAAAGACTGCTGCTTCTCCCGGGGAGGAGGCACCGAAGGACACCGTTGATACAGAAGTCCGCTTCAAAGAATCCGATAACGATCAGCCAACTGAAAAAGACGGTAAAGACAAAGAGAGTATTCAGGGCCGCGCGAGTAGAAGTCCGAGCGGCAACGATGACAAGACCAACGACGAGAACGTCTCGGAACAGGTTGAAGAGGAAGACGTGGAGGATATTTCGCTAACCAACCTTGAAGATGATCAAGAAGAAGAAAAGGAAGTCGGCGAAGGCGCTGAGAAAGAAGAAATAGAAGGGAAGGAAAAAGAAGCCGAGTCTGAAAATACGATGGTAGACGCGGTCGACGAAGCGGAACCGAAAGTAACGATCAGCGAAGAGAAATCTGAAGAAGATGTCCACAAAGACGACGATGTCGATAAATTGGATTCTTCCGAGAAACTTGAAGCAAATGCGAACCAAGAAAAAGACAAACCCGATGAAGACGAGAGCAACGAGAAAGATGAGAGCAAGGAGAAAAGCGACGTCGAGTCGTCTGAAAAATCTGAGGAAAATCCAGTCGAAGGAAAAGAGGATTTAAACAGTTTCGATACGCCCGAGGAGAAGATCGAGGAAAAGAATAAGTCGGTGGAGATAAGTCGAGATTCTTCCGACGAGTCCGAAGAGAATGTTATCGAGAAGGAAACGGCGGAATCGAGCGACAAACCTGCGGAGGAAAAAGTCAGAAGAAAAAGCCGAAAAATCGAAAAAGCCGAGATCGAGAAAGCCGAAGGAACAAACAAATTAGATTCTTCCGAGAAATCTCAGGGAGCGACGGGTTCCCCCAGCAGAACGAGTCCACGGAGGAGTAAATCGAGTAGCTTAGGGAAACTCGAGGAGAACAAACGAGACAACTCCGAGAGTTCCGAGGAAAAGGACAAGGTTACTTCCTCACCGGAGCGGAGGAGCACGAGGAAGAGCAAGACAGTGTTGCATTCAAAGATCGAAGAGAATAAGAAATCTGAAGAAGGAAAGGAGAAGGCGGCGGGTTCCCCCGATAATCTTGGCAAGTCGCCGGAGAGAAAGAGCCCGAGAAGGAGCAAGTCTGTTTTGTCCGCCACGACCGAAGAGAACAAGAAAGATTCTGCCGAGAAATACGAAGAAAAGGACGAGTCGAGCAAACCTGAAGAGAAAAAGGTCACGAGAAAGAGTAATAAATCGGTCAGCTTTACAAAGTCCGAAGGGAAGGATAAGCAAGAGGCCCCTGAGAAACCCGAGGAAAAGTCCGAGTCCGTTGAAAAACGCGAGGACCAGCTAGATTCCGCTGAGAAATCCGAAAGCGAGCCAGATGCCTCCGAGAAACCCGAAGACAGGTCAGATTCCTCGAAAAAACTCGAGGTAAACGAGAGCAAAGGGGAGAAAGTCGTCGAGGCGGAGGCGGACGTAGTTGTCGAAATTAACGAGGACAGTAGTTCGGACGACGTTATGGAGGTGTCCGAAAAAGAGCCTGACCACAGGCCGAGTGTCAACGACACGGAAGAAGTGCTGGACTCGAACGACGAAAATTCGAGCGACGTCGTGGAAATATGCGAGCGAAAGGACGAGGTAGAGTGCATAGAAGAGACGAATCCTCCCGACGAGACCGACAGAAGCGCGAGCAGCGGCGCTGAAAAAAGTGACCAAGATATCGCGGCGGTGCCAGCTTCCGATTCCGCGGACGTGGCGGCCGAGATTCTGCAGGAAGTTCTCGATCTGGCGAGCGCGGAGATCCAGAAGCGACAAGACGTCACCGAGGTCGCCGATGGAAACGACTCCGACGACGCGGAGACGTTGGAAAATATTTCAAGAGAAGTACAAAACGGCGGTGACGCGAACTCCCGAGAATCGCACGCTCGTTTCTCGACGATCGATCCTTCATAAATCGCTGTCAATTAAATTTCCATTGGCCCAATTCATCGGATAATAGAATCCAACTATAGAGCACATACAATCGTTGGCATCTCGTACGACGATTTACGGTTGGTTAGTCCACTTCAAAGAAGTCGCGGGAATGCTTCGAAAATTGTTCCGTTCGTTCTCTCCGATACTTTTTCGTTTCGAGGTTCGCGCCAAAAGATCTGTGTCTCGTTTAAACAGCGGAGCTCGCGCCATGTAATTTTATATCATTCTTATGAACGATGTCATTTTGTGTTTCGTATGTACGACCGTTATAATAGTCTGATTTCAACCAGTAGCAGTTGCTTGTTCATTTTCGAACGAATCCCACATCACCGTTTCTTCTTCGACAACGTTTTACACGAACGAATGATTCGCGCCGCGGTGAATATCGATGATCATTATAAATATGCGTGTTTGTATATTCTTGTATAACGTATACGTTCCCTACGACATATTTGAAAGTTGTACAGATTTTGCGTGCAATGTAGTAGACTCGAGTGTTTCGGGAAACGAATCGGGGTATTGTACGATTAATCGTCGACCAGTTCGGCCAGGTCCGGAGCCAGGAGAATACCTAATTCCCGCGAAAACAACAAAGCCATGCAATCTCTTCTCGTCTTGTTCGCAAACACGCGCGTCTATAGCGTTCGAATTTTATAGATATTTAATGCGCGATGCAAGAAGTTTTAGCCCTTCGAGGGCGAGAATTGTTTTAAATATTCAAAATATTCAAAATAGTTTCTTTTCGATCTACCAAATTGTAAACTTGTCTTTTGTTATTGAAGCAATTAAATGATTTGCTTATCGATAGAATCGTGCAACATGTATGAAAATCGTGTTTGCTCGGCATACCATCGCTGTCCGTCTACGTCCTCGTGAATTCTCGTTCATTTCTATCCAGCTCCGATTCTCTTGGAAATTTCTCCCGAACTTACCTGCGGCGTCGAGCCGATAACCGGAAACCGGCGACGACGCTCTTCGATCATTCGCGGCCGCGCGTATCTCCTCGACCGTCGTCGTCGAAGCTTCGCGAGGACGACGATAAAAACGAGATCGTATCTTCCGGAGCTTCGTGCCGCGTGTCCGAATACGATTCGTCTTCTGAAACCGAAAGAGAAGAGTTCGGGCAAGTTCGCGCCGCAATTCACGCGTTCTGATCGTCGACTCGAAGAATTTTATCTTAAAATGATCGCGTCGGTTTCGTCCGCGTAACGTCTCGCGATCCCACGGGAATCGTCGTCGAGTATCCGTCAGTTTTGTAGGAGGAAACGCAGTGGCCATTTGCAACACAGTCAGCGCACGTTCGCGTATACACGCATACGTATTATTATAAGAATAAAGAATATAACGTCGCACGAAACGAAGAAAACATTCGGGGGACAGAGGTTCGCGAAACTAGTTTGCCGTGTACATAAGATTGAAATCGCATTTCGCGATTCGCGTCCGCGAAGAGAAACGACGATCACGCGGGACTAGATCCGATCGAAAGTATCGACGCGCGGTCGCGTTTCTTCCGTATCGCGTCGAGCCATTCGCCCGGAATATCGATCTTCCGATCTAGGGGAGCATCGAAATCTCGGTTTCGAGTCGGTTCGAATCTCGGATCGAACAAAATTTCGAGCGGGAACGCTTCGAGACGAAATTTCGAATTCGGTTCAGCTTTTATTTCTTCTGCCGAAACGATCGGAGGACAATTGGAAGTCGTGGGACCAAGACGGGAGAACGGCGGAGTTTTTTCTTTTAAATCGGCACAGTTTTTTTTATAAATCGGAGGGTTAAACCGGTTCGCGAGATCTCGACGCGACGCGAGAAACGCGCGATCGTCGAAAAGTCGTTTCCATAATTACCGCGTGTCTCCCAGTGCCAAAACGGCTCCCTCAGGCTTTTCCATCGACAGATCGCCAGGGTCGCGGATCGATCGTACGCGCCGCATCGCAGAAGCAGATCCCAGTACTTCTCGATCCTCTCTTGTCCTACGGATACACAGAGGCGCGCGAACGCGTCAGGCTCTCGTACGTTGAACGGTCGCCCTTCGTCGACGATCGATACGCCTGTTTAATTTTTTAACGCTCCTTTCTAACCGCGGTAGTCGCGCGTTCATCTATTTTCTTTTTTGCAACTGTACTTTCTTAGCATCTTCGTTCTCGACGATATCTTTGTTTCGTTCGCCGAAATGGATACACGCCGTCGAAGCTAGACCGTGGAAAACGCCGACGATCGATCGATGTTACGGTGGGAGAACCGGTAAATGCCATAAACGCGCGATCAAATTCGTGAAATTTCCGTTCGATCGGAAGAATCCACGGTCCAGCGACTGCGCTCGTCGCTCGTTTCTCGATTATTCCTAGTTTTTCTAGTTCGTAAGCCGCGAGGCAAGACGCACTTCTCGATCGTGAGACGGTCGGTTTTAATTTCATACGGTAGCCGCGTTAAGTTCGGCAAAACGCGATCGAACCGTCGACGCATCTCCGAGCGGACGGCACAGATTTCATTTGCACGGACGCGGCTGGCGACATCCGCGTCCTTCGATATTTGCCGGAAAGACGGCTGGATAACGTACACGCGTACGGGAAACGAGGCGAGAAGATAGAGCGTCGCGTATCGTAATTCCTATCCGTTTGTACGTTTTAAGTCCAGCTCTGTAACCCCACCGCAGGACGCGCGCGCGTTTTCCTCGCGTCGCGTCGATATCTACCAATAATACAATTGTGCATTTGTAACATAGAATAAAGAATAGCTGGTAAACTAGCTAGCCCCGCTCTTCTACCCGTCGACGACGACGATAGAAACACCGTGGTCGTTTCGCGAACGATCGAATTTGCTTAGCGCCGTATCGATCGCGATCTCGAGCAAGCCGAGCCGATTGCTTTGTAATAACGATAAATTGATTTATTGTAATATATATATATATGTAAACGCGATAGCTTTAGAGTCTCGAACGTTCCCGTAGAGGCTTTTAGAGGCGAGCTATCGTCGAATGGCGCGCGAAAGGACCGGTGGTTTTAGCGTCGAGCCACGTTCGGTTTCTCCTTTTAGTTTCGTAACTGTAGAACAGTACCCTTCGAGATTCCGGCGACGCATCTGGCTCGGTCGGCTTCACCGGACAGGTCGAGGTCGTTGTACAATCTCAGAGCTTCCTCCAAATGAACGGTGGACACGTCCAGCTTGCCCTGATCGAACATAAACGCGCGCGCGCGAATCGTTGGATCGAGTCGCAAATTATTTCCGTCGCGGTTAAATCATCATGTTGTATAATAAAATAATTATTATATTTATCTTATTCGTCGACACGACGATCGATTCGATGCCGATTCTTTTGTATATTCGTCTCGGAAAGAGCTGCGTCGATACGTACTATCGTATCGACGCGCGTCCGACTCGATCCAACGGATCGTCGCAATATTTTCGTCAATTTTTCTTTCACTTTTACTTTCACACGTAGCGACCCAGCTCACCATGTTTTTGTCTTCTATTTTGTACCATTGTAGACGTTTTCGTAAATAAGTTAGCTAGCGTAGCAACGTGTTGTGTTATCATTTCATCGGTTTACCTTGCTCAGGTAGTGCTCGCCGGTGTAATAGTGCGCGTCGGCGAGCTTCTCGAAGAGACTCAGTTCTTCGGCGGTCTCCCGTAACATCCGCAAGTGCTTTTCCGTGCGAGCGTCGTCGTCCAATTGCTGTTAGCACGTAAAAGTCGTTTCTGCTTACCGCGTCGGCCTCGATTCGAACGATTGCGGCGGCTCTCGCGACCGTCCCGAGGATTTTGAAAATCTTGGGAATTCTTATAATCTCGAATCAGCAAACGTTTTCAGGAACTCGATCCGATCGCGAAATTTATCCTCCGCCGGACCCGGTTCGCGTACGCGCATGTAAGAGCACGCTTTTCCTTTCTCCGGTTCGAAACGATTCGAATTCACCGCCACCGATCGACTCGTAGCGCCGCCCGCGGCGAAACTTCGAAGCTCGTTTCGGAGTTCGTACAGCGCCAATTAGTCCGGTGGCAAAATGCTCAAACTGTTAGTCAAAATCGGCTGTCGGTAATTTTAGCTAGTAGTTTCACCGTTTTGCCACCGGATTAATTGGCGCTGTAGGCCGCTTTGTTCACGCGAAATCGACGCAGCAGACGCTCCTCTATAAATCCGTGCCCTTGGTTTATCGTTTTATGACCTATTTTTGCCTTAATTAATATTTTTCGGCGACCATGCGTTCTGCGAATGCGGGCGACAGTGGCGCCTCTTGCGGCGAAATCTCGAAGCTCCTTTCGGCGTTCGAACAGCGCCAACTCGTCCGGTGGCAAAACTCTGAAACTACTGGTCAAAATTACCCATAGCTGATTTTGGCCAGCAGTTTGAGCGTTTCGCCACCGGACCAATTGGCGCTGTACGGACTCCGAAAGGAGCTTCGCGGTCTCCCCGTTAGAGGCGCTGCAAAGTCCATCGGCAGCGGGAGATTCGAATAGCGTCGAACCAAAGATTCGATTTATTACCTTGTAGGCGAACGCCAGTTCCGTGTGCGCGTTGCAAACACCTTCAGGATCGGGAACCCTCTTCGCCAAAGCCAGCAGCTTCGAAAACGTTTTCAACGCGCTTTTCGCATCGTTCACAGCCATGTAACACTTGCCGAGTTCGTGCAGCGTCTCGTTCAGATATTCCGCGGCTTCGGCTGTGGTTCGATGTTCGATTAATTTTCAAACGATCTCGACCACATTCGGGATACATCGAGATTCGATCTACGGGATCTACCGTCTGTCGCTCTTTCGAGGGCCTCGAGGCAGGCTCTCAAAGCCGCGTCGGGATTGTCGGCTCGTTCCTTTCGCGCAAGGATCAGCAGAGCTTTGTACAGAAGAACGTTGCACTCTCGAAAGATCGCGCCCTGCTTCTCTCCGAGCACTTTCGAAGCGTTCCACGTTTTATTTTCGGATGCCTCGCGTGCCTCGTTCAGATAGACCAAAGCTTCTCCGGAGTTCTGCACTGTTACCGCAATCGTCTCTAAATCTTTCGCTATACAGTAACTTCTCTCTAATCGACGCTCGGAAGGTCCACAAAAATGGACAATTTAGGGAAAGGACATACGATTATTCGAGCCTTGCGGTTCGTTTTTATAGTTACGAATTGTCAACGAGTATAAAAGCCACGAATAATCGTATCTCCTGTTCCCAAATTGTCCATTTTTCTGCCGAATCTGAGCGTCGGTTAGGGAGACATTACCGTGCTTTCAAGAATCGTGAGTCCAAGGTTTCTCCGATGTTTCGTGCTACTAACGTTCGTGGAAAAGTAATCGCCCGTACAGATATCGGACCAGGGTGATCGTCCGACGATCGTCGTTCTCGACCAACTCCGCGGCCGAGAGGGCTGCCTTGTAGAGATGTTCGGCTATCCACCACCATTCCCAAGTTTTCCTCTGGAAGAACAACGCGGTGTCCAAGAAGGCCGTTGCTCGAGACACGCGATCGTCTGCAAACGGGAGTCGAAACAACGATAGAACACGAAATCGTTGGTTTTGAGGAACGGTCTCGGGTTGAAGTAACCCGAATTCGACGGAGAACAACGTACTCCTCCTCGTCGCTTTCTCGTACGAGATCAGTCCTTCCTGCAACCGATCCAAGAAGTCCTTCCGATCCTTGAGAGACGGTTTCTTCCATAGCAGAGCACCCACCGAAGACTCGGTGATCGTTTCGTCGATCTTCAACAGCTCTTTCATCCAACGAGCCGCGTCCTCGAAGTTTCTCTCCTCGAGCTCGAGCAGAATCGCTTCGTGATACGGTATACGGTGTCTGCTCGCGATCAGTGTCGCTTTCAGTTTCAATTTCGATCGGTTCGTACGTGGGATCGATCGTAGCTCTAGGTCAGGGGTGGCCAAGCGTTCGATCGCTACGAGCCTGTTGTTTACCTGTTTTTTAAATTATAGGCGGCGGTCTACCAGCATCGTATACGTCGAGCGATCGTACGAAAAGTAGAGATTTAAAGCCAAAAATAAGTTTTTAAACTAGGAATAGTTCCGCGGCCTACGCTTTGGCCACCCCCGAAGGGGGTTCAAGCGGTACGATGGCAAAGACCTTCTGACTTGCGCGGCGTTCAAGTTCGGCAACGCGGCCTTCAATTCCACCGTAACCCTCTTGACCTCGTGCCATTCTGCTTGGGGCAGAGTCTTCAGATCCGCCGGATACACGATGCGTTCGATTTCCTTGTCGCTCGAATCGCTCGACCATTCGTCGTAGTCGTCGTTCTTTAAAAGATCTACGACGTCGTGCCGTTCGACTCGCTGGTCTCGAACAGCCATTTTGTTACATTTATCGCGCAATTTTGTTTCGCATCGCTCCAAAATTATACGTGGCACACGTTTGCTATTTTAACGGCAGCATTTGATATATTGGCGGGTAATAAGACAACTTCGCGATGCAGATTTCGCAGCTGAAAGTTCGTATAATTTATTGTACGAGATAAATTTCAACGCAAGTAATTATATAATAATAATAATAGTAATAATAATAATAATAATAATAATAATAGTAATAATAATAAACGTTCCGAGTGACCTTCTTCGACGCGAAATAGGAAATCTGTTCGATTATTCTTTTCTCATAGAAGGCGGTCGCCCTCTATATATTTTCTATTAACACGTTATCATAAAAAAAAACTTATTCTTTCTCCTGAGTTAATAATAAACGTTAAAAGATCAACGCAGCGACGTCTAAAAAAATTTCCCTAAGACTTTTAAGCGGTCGCGGCCACCGTCTTCCTCGGCTCGAGCTTGATCTTGAATCCCTCGGCTCTCTTCAGAATGATGTCGGCCTGCAGCCTGAAGTCGGACTCCTTCACGCTCGACTTGACGCGGAAGTTCCTCATGATGGTCGAGAGGACGATCTTCAGCTTGAGCATCGCGTATTTACGGCCGACGCAGGATCGCGGCCCGGCGGAGAACGGGACGAACGCGTAGTAATGGCGGTTCGCCGTGTTCTCCGGCAGGAAGTTGTCGGGGTTGAAGACGTCGGGGTTCGGGTAGATGTGCGGCTGTCGGTGCATCTTGATCGTGCCGATCACCACCGTGGCGCCAGCCGGCACAACGTGATCGCCGGACGCTGGAATCGCGAATAAAACGATCTCGAGTCAGCGCGAAACTTCTCGTTCGAACCGTCGATCCGACGGGAGCGGTCGAAAACGATACCAACCCAGTTTCACGTCGGTGCTCATCTGCCGGGCGATGATTGGCACGGGCGGGTACATGCGAAGCGTCTCCAGGAGGCAACGTTCCAGGTACTTCATCTCCAAGGTGTCCTGGAAGGTGGCCGGCCTGTCGCTGTCGCCGAAGATCTCGTCCATTTCCTGGATCACTTTCTCCTGGATGTCCGGATGGCAGCCCATCATCGTGAGGAAGAAGCTGGATCCGGAAGCGGTCGTGTCGTGTCCCTAAAAAACGATATGCGCGCGCGCTCTCGTTTACGCGACCGGCCGACGAACGCGCGATCGAGGAGCAACCGATCTTACCTCGAACATGATGGTGTCCACTTGTTCCTTGACTTCCTGCTCGGTCAGCACCACGCCGCTTTGTCCAGCCTCCATCAGGAGGTCGAGGAAAGCCTGCCTCTTCTTCTCGCCGATGTCGTCCTCGACGTCCAAATCGTCCTTAAGGCCGGCCGATTGACCGAACGAGACGCCCTCCACGGCGATCGTTTTCTCCGGCTGTAACGAGAGAACCCCGTTGACGAACGGATCTCGTGGACGATCGCGGTGAATTCGAAGCGGAACGACGGTCCGCTGACCGACCTTTTGCGCGCTCGTGTCGATCAGGTTGCGCTTGCCGCTCTTGAACTCGTCCTTCTTGCGTTGGATCACCTTCTTGGTCAGACCGTGAATGACCTCGAGCAGCTTGATCTGGTCCTTGCCGTATTTGGTCAGATTGAACAGCCAGTCGGGCCTCAGCCAGATTTTCGTGTGACGCAGGTGAAGGATGTCGCACATCCTGCGAACAGATCGATCGGTTCCGTTCGAGCAGCGAAATTGCTCCAGTTCGTGTTCTAGTTCCTTACGCAACCGCATCGGATATACTCGCGGAGGTACGATATTACGCGCGAGCGCCGTCAACGAGAGCCGACTTTCTCCGATGGAAGAAAGCGTTTGCGTAAGGCGCGCGAATCGAGACGATAGGAGAAACAGGAAACCTACTTCATCACGGCCATCGCGTACTCGAAGCCGCTCTTGTCCTGGGTGCTCTTCGAGACGCCCATCGCGGTCTCCAACAGGATCTCGACCGTCAGCTCGGACATGTAATTGTGGCAGTCGAACTCCTTGTTGCCCTCCTGGCGCATCTTCTCGACGACCGCGCGCGAGTTCGCGTTGAACAGGTCGATGAAGCTCTTCAGGACGTTCAAGTGGAAGGTCGGGGCGATCAGCTTGCGGTGAGCGCGCCATTTCGGACCTGCAATTCACGGCCACGCCGCGTGTAACTCTCGCGGCTCGATCCACCCGTTTTCCACGTATTCGCGAAATTTTCTACGCGCGTTCCGCGCTGGTTCCGTGCTCCGGTTCCGAGCGGTGGCGGAAAAGGGGAACGCCGCGGCGAGTCGTAACGAGCGGTCGTTCGAACGACCGAGGAGACACGCGGGAGAAAACGCGCTTCCAGCGCGAGAGAAAAGCGAGAAAAAAGCCTAACCGGCGCGGTTAGGCGAAAGGAGGGGAAGGATCGTCCATCGAGCGATCGCCCGCGACTTCGCGACCGGCCGATGGCTGGTTCGCGAGGTTTTCCAGAGAAAAAGAGAGACCGATTTCCCAGGTCGGGTCGACCGGAAACCGAAATAAAACGACCGATAAAACTGAGAAGCGGAAACCGAAGACCGCGCGAGAGTCGGCACGAGAGATGAAAGTTTGGCGCCCATCGATGCACGCGTGCCGATTCGACCGGTTACGTGTCGCCGCTCCCTGTTACGTGGACGATTAAGTAGGAAAAAAGGATATCTCGACGCGGCGAGAAAGTAACGATAGCGAGTTGTACGCGCGCGCGATCGTTAGACCGAGTCGAACGGTGCCGGGTCACCCCGCGATTCGCGGGACTCGTCGGGCGCGCGGCGGCGACGAACAACGCCGTTCGGGCTCGGGAGCCGCAAAGTATTTTCCGGTTTTCCTTTTTCAAGGCATTCCCGAGGAGCGGCGGTGAAATCGGTTTGCGAAGCAAACATCGTTGGAACGTCGAGCGATAGCAAACGCCGGGCGGTCGCGAGCCTCCGAGCGGAAGTTGTCGCCGCGCCGCGACGAAAAGGATTTTTACGGGAAGCTCGAAGGAGCGAGGGATAATACTTACCGGTGGAGATCAGGAGACCGTTTCCGAGCCAGGGCTTGAAGAATCTGTACTCGGCCGACTTGTCGATGTACACGTTGCTGGAGAGGATCACCTCGACGTCCCGCGGATCCGTCAAGAAGACCAACAGCTTCGGTCCGACCCAGAGCCTCACCACGTCGTTGAACTCGTACGACCTTTGGTAGACTTTCTGGAAGATCGCTGCAACGATCGCGACAAACGGAGGCACCGGTTATACGTAGCTTCCGCGTCTGGCCGTCTGTTCGTTCGATTTACGTAACCGCGAACTCGCGCCGAGCGTTTTAGCGCGTTAAACGTCGTTTCTTTGCCGAAACACTTTCCTCGTTGGATCGCGGATATTTCGTAGATCCGTCCAGAATCTAGACTTTCCAAAGACGGTTCCGATTCGCGTTACGGCAACGTCTCTCCGATCGACGCTCGGATCGTGCACGGAAATGGACAATTTGGGGAGACGAGACGCGATCGTTCGCGCCTCGCGGTTCGTATTTATAATTACGAATCGCGTCGAGAACTGTAACAACGAGCTGCGAGGCGCGAACGATCGGATCTCCTCTTCCAAAATTGACCATTTTTGTGCGCAATCCGTGCGTCGGTTCGGGATCGTCGGCGGAACTATTTCTATCTCGATTTCTATCTCGATGAAACGCGAGCGAACGACCCGATCGTCGAGAAGGGTGGAAAGTCGAAAAGTTTCCGGCAGGGTAAGGCGTCGCGTTCGAGACGAGAACACCACTCACCATCGGGACTGCCGAGCATTTCGAGAGCGTTGCCAAGTATCGGCAATGCGGGTGGGCCGGGCAGTTTGTTGCCCAATTCGATCATGTGGCGTCTGGAGATGCGGAAGTAGATGTAGTAGAGTACGACGGCAGGGATCAGAAGGGAAAGAAAGACGGTGGTGGCCGAGAAGCCGGTGGCCGAGGCGGCCGCCATCGATCCGGCGACTATTTCCGGCCCAGCAGCAGACATGTTTCGCGCGTTTCTGAAAGCAAAGAGAGAATCCCGCATCGTGATTCTTGTTTTCTCGATCGGCGACACGAGCCCGCGATTCGGACGGAAGCCGCGGGGAGACGCGTCCCGACCGAGGCGCGTGGCAAACGATCGAAAACGGAGACGTTCGATCGCGGCCGATCGAGCGAAATCTCAACTCGATCGCGTCGTCGCATGGAGTTCGACGACTCGACGAGTCCTTCGACGAGTCACTCGACGGTTTCACAAGCACTTCGGAGTCCCGGAGACGGAGAATCGTCGACGGGGGTGGCGTCGCGGCGTGTCCATCACGGGCCGCGACGCCGACGAACGAATAGAAAATCGAGGATCGGTCACCCACCTATATCTGCTCTTTCGCACCACTGACACGACGACTTCTCGACGATGAACCACTACCAGACTGATCGAACAACTTGCCGCGATCCCTTTTATAACCAGGCCTTTCTACGGCCACCCCTACTCGAATGTCCGCGGCGTTAATTAATAGCCGTGACACGCTTCTATTAGAATTCATCGAATTACCGCGCGATCGAACTCTTCGCACCCTGACCGCCCCCCGTTCCCTCTCCCTCTTTCGTTCGTCGTTCCGTTCGTCTCGTCCCCGAAAACGTTCGGCTCTTGCAACGTTCGTTCGACGCGCCGGAACCAGCCAACCCTGTCGCGGTCCTTTCGCGGACGAAACGATCGATTCGGATTATTTTTCCGACGATCGGCTCCCGTTGTCGCCGTCGACTCTGTCAGCCAGCATCGGGGTACGCGTTCTCGTTGCCCGACGACGAAACTTGCCGTGGATACGCCGCGAGAAATCTCCCGGGCGCGGCTGCAAATTTTGGGCGCCGACGCGAGAGCTTCGGCTTCCAAATAAAAATGGGCAATTTCGACAGGGCGGATGCGATCGTTCGAGCCTCGAGGCACATTTTTACAGTTGCCGTATCTCCGGTCCCCGAAGGAAAATTGGGGAGAATTTGTCGCGCTCGGATAACCGACGATCGAAACTCTCCGAAAGCTTCGGCTCTGCGGCGTCTACGAGAATCGTCCGATCTACGAGAGCGAGGGGTAGGGTGGTGCGAAAAGTCGCCCTTTCGTTGCAGAAACATATGGCACGCGAGTTTCGAGCAATGGAACGATCTCATTGTTCGTTGATGCACGGTGGAAGAAATCGGCGCGTCGATCCTAGAAAGGCCCGCGTGCTCGGTTCAAGGCTCGTCCACACCGGGAAGGGAAGAGGCGAATCGGTGCGTTCGCGCGTCTCGAAGGGCCTGGAAAAGCCGGCGCGTGGAAAGGTGCCCGATCATGCGATCGCGCACGGATCTAAAGTTGGGAACAACATAGGTTGCGTCGAGTCATCGGAAGCGTAGAAGCGTTTCCGCCTTGACCCAGTCGCCCGTTTTACTCGTCGGCCGGTATTGTCATTTGCAAACAATGCGTTGCGCGATCGCGTAGGCTATCGTCGTTCGCCTATCAAAATTTCCGATGAAATTGCTTCGCGCGAACCAGCGAAGCTAGGCTTCGGGAGCTAAACCGAATTAAACTTAACGTGAAATTCGTCGAGTTCGACCAAGACGAGACAATCTTCTTGCTCGAATCGAACGAGCGGCCCGGTTCGGGATGCATTCCGCTTCCTAGGAAATGTTTGTCTTCGTTGAGTAACTCTTTCGCTTTACGTAACGCGAACGTTACGTTTCCTGTCTCTTGCGAATCGGATCGCCATATTTTCGGACAATTCGGGATGCCGATCGGTCGAAATTACGGATCGGGGTTAATACGGTTAATACGGTCTCCTTTACCGACGCTCGGATTGTCCGCTAAGATGGATACAGCAATCGACGCTCCTCCAATCGACGCTCGAATTGTCCACAAAATTGGACAATTTCGGAAGAGGAGCTACGATTGTTCGAGCCTCGCGGCTCGTTTTTATAATTGTGGACGATCGGTCCATTTTTATCGGGCAATCGCCGCGTCGGTTAGGGAGACAATCCGAGCGTCGATTAGGGAGACGTTGCTCTACGGTCGAGCTCGCAGCTCGTCTCTCAAATGGTCGTTGACAATCGGTAACTATAAAAATAAACCGCGAGGCTCGAACGATCGTATCTCCTCTTCCCAAATTGTCCATTTTCGTGGGCGATCCGGGCGTCGATTGGAGAGACATTACTGTAGCCGCGTGTCTCGATACACGCGCGTCGAAACCAGAAGCGGCTCGAAAGAGACACGCGTGCGAACATTAATTACACGCGTGTACGCGCGAAAACGCGAGATACGCGCGAAATGGAGATCGCTTGGTCGTCGCGTTGTGCAACGTGTCGCGACCTGTGACACAATTTGTCACGTTAAATTCCGGAAGTGATGCGCACGAAATGTCTCCTTACATAAGGCGATCCGCATTTTCGCGAACGGCGTGTCCCGACATGCTCGTGAGAACGGGGCACACGCGCGCGTTTTACGCTTACAATCGCCGGACATCCAGGTCGATGCTCGATGACCCCACTTTCCGACACACGCAATCGCGTCGTTGCAATGTCGTCGCGATCGCGAGCGCGCGATTACAGGTGTCCGTTATCGGGAACGGACTCGGCGAGCAGGATCGGTTCGCCGGCGCGGAAAGCGCGGGTGCGATCTTTGAACCTTCCAAGTTCAAGATCCGTTGCCGTCGCTCCTGAAATCGNATTGTCCATTTTCGTGGTCGATCCGGGCGTCGATTGGAGAGACATTACTGTAGCCGCGTGTCTCGATACACGCGCGTCGAAACCAGAAGCGGCTCGAAAGAGACACGCGTGCGAACATTAATTACACGCGTGTACGCGCGAAAACGCGAGATACGCGCGAAATGGAGATCGCTTGGTCGTCGCGTTGTGCAACGTGTCGCGACCTGTGACACAATTTGTCACGTTAAATTCCGGAAGTGATGCGCACGAAATGTCTCCTTACATAAGGCGATCCGCATTTTCGCGAACGGCGTGTCCCGACATGCTCGTGAGAACGGGGCACACGCGCGCGTTTTACGCTTACAATCGCCGGACATCCAGGTCGATGCTCGATGACCCCACTTTCCGACACACGCAATCGCGTCGTTGCAATGTCGTCGCGATCGCGAGCGCGCGATTACAGGTGTCCGTTATCGGGAACGGACTCGGCGAGCAGGATCGGTTCGCCGGCGCGGAAAGCGCGGGTGCGATCTTTGAACCTTCCAAGTTCAAGATCCGTTGCCGTCGCTCCTGAAATCGCTCGCGCGATGACTCGCGCGTTCGATCCGTGCGAAGCAACGATAAGACAACGAGACAACGATGAAACTTCGTTTCATCGAATTCTACGATTCCGTGGAATCGAACTTCTTCTAAGAAGAAAGGTTTCGAACAGCCCGTTTGGATGATTCATTACTCGTAACTCTCGTAATAATTACTCCGTGCCCGACTCTCGAGCCGAGAGCTCGCCGCTACTCGCCTAAGTGGTTCTTTCCTATGAAAAGAAAACGTTCTTGCGAAACGAGAAACAAGGCAGTTTGGAGCGACAGGTTATCAAAGTTCGACAGCGAAACCGATTTCACTTCGACGCGGGTCTATCGGCCTCCATGAATTTTGAATTTCAACTATAATTCGTGCATCCCTCTTCTCGTTCTAGATTCTTCAGTTTTTCGTTATTGTCTTACAAATTATCCTATTTTTTCCATCCTCTCGCCTTTTTTTTTCCTTCGCTCATCCATTCTCTCTCTCTCTCTCTCTCTCTCTCATTCGTACTTTCTCGTTGTCATTTATTAACCACTTTGCTATCTATAATACATATAATATAATCTACATATGTATATCAACGTCACTATCATTATTGCAAATGCAATAGCGTAACATGTTTACTAATTTCCAAGCAAGTGCAAAGTCTCGCGCAACTTCTAGAAACAATTTTACTTAGAATTTAGCTCCTATATTAGCAACATTTCGTTCCCATGTCTCTTTTTCCAATATATGTATATCTGCCGCTGAAACTGGTAAGCAAACATCGTCAGAGGGTAAAACCCGCAGACGATCTTCCCATCTATGGTAAAAACGATCAACTGTAACCCTGTAAGCAGACTTAGGATCTAACAGTCTGAGCGTTTCGCCACCGCGTAGAATGGCGCTGTATGGAAGTTCGAATGCCGACAATATAGCGAAGCAACAATCCTTCGACTTCTAATTTTTCAAAGTGTTCTCGCGATTGTCATCCAATATACTTTAGGAGATGCTAAACTAGACACTTCCAGCTTTCATTTAAGCACATGTGCATCATCATAGCCCATCGGAAACATAGCTTAAAATGCATTCGAATTTCCCCTTCCATTCGCAGGTTTTTTCTTGATTTTTCATTTTTGTCACGATTCCGGCGCTTTTAATATGTCAATGCGTTCCCGATATTACACATAATCTAATTTGCCATATCTTAAAGTAATAATTTCTATCTTTCTGTTTAGGTCAGGTGCACGTTACTTCTTCTACGTTACTCCACGACATCGTTGCTTCATCGCTGCGGTAGTAAAGCAATGATTTCATTGTACCATGCTTGTATTGTACCATATGTGAAAATAAAAATATATTTAAACTTAATCCAAACGTCTTCTCATTTATACATTTCTCAAAACCTTTTATCCCTATCCCTATCGCTACCCCGACGCAATCCTTTACGTATCTCGACGACCGATTTATCTGACTTTCCATTGACTTAAACTACTTGCTAATTGTATCAGGAGAACATGATACTCCTCGAAGAGGTATCTCGAAATTCTTTGTCCGGCTTGTGATTGACTCGTACTACTGAAATTTCGACAAAACGAAATACCTCCTCCTACGTCATGTGCTCCTGATAGAAATTTTCGAAATTTTCCGGAAAATTTCTGAAAATTTTCGGGAAAAGTAGTACGAGTCAACGTCAGGCCAGACATTCGAAAGAATACCTCCTCGCACATCATGTGCTCCTGATACAAAAAGTAGTACGAGTCAACGTCAGGCCAGACATTCCAAAGAATACCTCCTCGCATATTATATGCTCCTGATACAAATTTCGGAAAAAGCAGTACAAGTCAACGTCAGGCCAGACATAGAATTTCGGAAATTTTCCGAAAAATTTCGGATTTTGTATTAGGAGCACATGATGTGCGAGGAGGTATTCTTTCGAATGTCTGGCCTGACGTTGACTCGTACTACTTTTCCCGAAAATTTTCAGAAATTTTCCGGAAAATTTCGAAAATTTCTATCAGGAGCACATGACGTAGGAGGAGGTATTTCGTTTTGTCGAAATTTCAGTAGTACGAGTCAATCACAAGCCGGACAAAGAATTTCGAGATACCTCTTCGAGGAGTATCATGTTCTCCTGATACAATTAGCAAGTAGTTTAAGTCAATGGAAAGTCAGATAAA